ACGTGGCAAAAGTGTGGCTGGCCCAACGAGCATGTAGCTTCCACAGCACTGTCAGCTTCGGAGTGAACGGGGTGGGGAAAGCAACTTTTGTCTGAATTTTGAGCGATGGGCTAATCTTCTAGGGGGACAATGCTCTGTCCGGGTATACAAACAAGATTCCAAGTAAGAGGGGACTCCCCCTTTTCGTCTCCTTTAACTGTGTGGTGGAATGCGCAATTTATGAGTTGAGAAGGAAAGCGAAACAGGAAGAAGTTGGAGAAGTGTTTCATGACCCGTTTAACTTTATTCTATGGATCAGTTTCTTTTTTTTTTTTGTTTTATGCAGCTCGCTTTTTTTTTGTTTTTTTAAATTATTTTTGTGTTTTGTTGTCGGCGCTGTATGGAGGTCGTGGCCCGGCGTAAACGATCAAAAACTAGGCTCCACTTTATTTAGCGGCTCTTAGAGGCTCTATTTGGTAAGGTCCCGTTTGTCGTGGCCTTCGGTATTAGCAGAAACGCGTGGAAATGTTAACTGGAGCTTGAGTTAACATATTTTTGTATATCAAACTATCTATGTCTCAAACTATTTTACGATCCCCTTTAAATTCTATATATCCGAGTTCGACTGTACTTTGTTCAGTGCGGACCTAGACCGGTTCTTCCCGACGTCGGAAATACTGTGGCATTGGGGTGCCCGTTGAATGGGCATACTAATGAGCAGCCAGTGGCAATCATTGTACCATTGCGGCGTAAGTCACCCTCGGTTTGTCGGATGCCGCTTCGCTCACAGAGTACTCCAATTGAAATGCCTGTTGAACTTCTTCCCGTACAATCTCGGCAGCTGAAATAGAAGTCAGGTGACAGGTGGCAGGAAGTAGCTTCCTGACCTCCTCTCAGCCAACATTGTGTATGATGTCGCGGATGCTGGGAGGCTGACGTCGAAGTTGCAGCTGGACGACTCGAGTCTCAAGACGCTGGGGAGTTGTTGATAGTGACGGGCTTGGACACGTAGTGCACATTCAATGTTGGAAGCCTCAATAAAGAGCCCTTCGACTGTTGTCGGAGGGTTGCAGACAAGGCTGCCAAAGAGGTTGTCCCTCACATGAGGTATACGAGGATTCTCAGCTTCTTGTCCCCTGTAGCATAAGGGTCGGCGTGGGCACGTAATCAGGTGCAAAACATCCTCCACGAAGGCGGTGATGCTCTTGTTTGGGCCGTGTCCTGGACCGAATTAGGTATTCGATTCTCTCTCTGAAACGTTGGCTGACGAACATGCATTCAGCTCGATTTTGCAAACTGCCCACGACACTAAGAAGGATTCGTGGTTCTCAAACCAGTGCCTGGCAGTTTCTTCCACGACCGGTATAGGTTTGGCAGGTGCTGGTCATCTGCCCACACATTATGGCAGGCAACACAGTCATATTGTTCAATCCAATCCTCAACGTCTTCGTACACCTTGCCGTGAAAGGGCGTCAGAGTGCGATGTGCGATGGGCACGCAAACAATGGTGGGAGCGAATGCGGTTTGCTGCTATGGGTTTGTCATTGGCTTAGTCCGCTTCGGTTTTTCTGGCAGGAGGCCGAATTCCAGTGGTTCTTCCTGGTGACAGCGACTGGTTCTTCGTGTATTTGGAGGGTTCGCTGTTGGTTGACTCGCTCGTCTTGCGGTTTTTCTGCCAAGCTGGGGATTGGATTTGGTTCACGGGTCGCCGGGAGTGTAAGATATGGGACAGTCCGCTACACGTGTCCCGTTGTCGGGAGACTTGGCCAGGGTGGAAGAAATACATTTAGGTGACGACTCTGTCTCGCACAGCGACCACATTGTTTGGCGCACCGAGCGCGCTTCGTTTGCACGGCGATAGATGGCGCCCAAGTATATATGGGCCTTTGAAGGCTTGTATAAAGGGCTTGTGAAGGAAATAATGCATTCTTTACTCGGTCCCCGTGTACTGTGTCGTGAAATGGCAGATTTATGTTGGCACACTGGCACCGATTGCCTTTTCCCCTGTGCAGTTCCTGTTTTTTTAGACGAGAACATTCCGATGATGGCTCAACGTGACAAAAATACTGGTGTAAATATAAAACTTCCCGGCATAATCTACTGGGCCTTCAATAATTTAGAGTAAACAGCTGGGTCGTGCTCACATGTTTTGTCAAACAGCATGTTTGGTAACAGTTCCGTAAATTGTTTAAACACATGCGTGGCTTTATAGGAGGTCGGGTGATTTTTTCCACCCTGCTCCTGCCTTCTTATTGAAAAAAATTCTAATAATGTTACATAGTGGGGCCTAAATAATTTGTTACATGCGCATAAAGGTTATAGCTTTACAAATGGTCTATGGATACAATGTCAACTTGTACTGTGGAACATACAAACCTTGTGAGCAGAAAAAAATTCTATTTATGGTGACATAGTGTCTGAAATGATGACACAGTATGATGACATACTGACTGACATGATGACACAGTAACTGAAGGTCAAACAATAGTAGTGGTTATAGGACATAAATCACTTTTTATCTATGCTTTCACAATATGGTGTCACCTTTTCTTACAGGTAAAAAAATACCTGACAAATATTTTTGCTTTAAAATGTGCACAAAGCTGAATTCACTGCATGCTACCAAAGAACGCCATCTCCTACATCCTGTTTCTCGCCCATGCTCTTAAACTAAGACGAGCGCTGCTTTGCTGATTTCTTCTTTTCTTGAGTTTGTTTGTTCCTACTCATCGTAATATGCTTACAGTGTTGTCGCATTCGCATGCTGAAGTAGTAGTAAAGCAACTGGGCAATTGTTTCTTCGTGTTGAGCGCATGGAAACGTTATTGTGCATGTGTCAAGAACGCTGTCGATTGTGTCCCAGTAGACAGTCTTGTGGCTTTTATTTTCCACGAAGAGCTGTTCCGCTTTTTCAGTAGCTGGAAAAGGTTCTTGTTGGGGTGTATGAGGCCTCCTCTGTTCTTTAAGTTTGTCAGTGCTGCTTCAGCAAAAGTGTTCTTGTTGATGCTGAAAGTGGATCGGCATGCAGGGCAGCGTGTAGCTTTTTTCATTTTCATACTCAAAAACCTAGTTACATAATATAGTATGCAGTCCACAGCCTTGGATTCTTCAGCCTTTTCTGTCCAGACATTGCATTCCCAGTCTTTGACAGAAATTAGACTGTCAAGCTTGGTCTTCACTTGGTCAACGAGATGAGGAGACTAGGAAGTAACTTGTGATTGGCCCTCGGGATTGCACGACGCCACTGCTCCAGGCGAGCGTCGTTCGATGGAGCTTTAAACAAGGACACTCGCTCTGCGCAGTTCCGGTACCCCGAATCGCAGTTGGGAACGAAGCAAGTCTTTCCCATCCGTATAGCATAACTTCTTCGGGTTAAGGCTCACCTTCGTGCACGATGGTGGCACCTGTGATCGACACAGCACCAAAGCAAAACGTGAGGCCAGCCACTGGCCGCACATCACGACCACACTGCAAAAGAGGCGAGCAAGCTATGCCCCCCCGACACCGTGGCCGAGGAGAGACCTCATACCCGCAGTGCTCACACCTTAGCACCCTCTGCGGCGGCGCAGAACTAACTATACTTTGTTTCACCTTATGTTGTACCGCAGCGAAGGCTAGAAGTGCGAGCTCATAGCTTTGGCAGAAGTCACGAGAGCTTGTGCCGCCAAGACGTGTCCCAGAGCAAGGAGCTCGCGCTTGTAGCCCTTCCTGCGGTACATCATAAGGTGAAACAGAGTATACTCCTGGTTCGTAGCTAGCTCCGAACACGATCTGGAAGCTCGCTCCCCGCGGGAAGAGCGGCCAGAGTCACCACCTAAATGTACTTCTTCCACTGTAAACTCGACTGAGGAGCTGCCAGGGTGCACCCAGAGGGAAGGGCTAAAGGTTAAGTACCCAGCATCTCCACCAGGACATACGATGACAGCCGAGCATGGCCTAACTTTCCAGAATGGTAAAGATTGATAGAAGGACTGGACCAAGCGTAATATAACAAAACTGACAGAAGAGTGTCTATCCTATCCTGACCAGTAAAGAAGCTGCATTGTTTCAGTGGCATTATGTGCGAATAAGTCCTTTCCTTCGGGGTTTTGAAGACTGCTGCGGACGAATTGAACTGAAATGGCTGTGGGACCACTTTTCCGGTAATGAGCCGCTGCAGAATGTCGCCGCAAAGCGGCGTGAACGGGTGGGTTGAGTAGGTAACATGCCAGGGGCGGATGTCCTGACCCCCCTCTTGATTTCTGCATGTGTGAAATTTAGGGCGTGAAACGAGGGAGAGGGGAAGGGGGTTCCTAAACGTATGATACACTGACCAACACCTGACCCCCCCTCAGGAAATACCTGCATCCTCCCCTGTAACACACGCCCCAGTGATACACGCGCGATGGAATGTCCATACAGCTTGCAATTCGCGTAACGAATGTTGATGAAACGTTTGTGTCGACAAAACGTGCGGCAGACCAGCGGACTCAATAACAACTGCAACACCTGTGCACCGCGAAAATGCACGTCCACGCTAGTACAACTTGGGAGGCAGCACAGCATCACCTAGCACGGCACAGGAACTAGCAGCTTCAAGGCAGCGCTTCGGTCCGCCGCACACCTGTGCTCCGTGACAGTGCACGTGTACTGCTTCCTAAAACGAGCAGTACAGCATCATCTAGCAGGGCACGGGTACTACCGGCTTCAAGGCAAGTCCCCGTGCGCAGCACATCTAAAGTGAGCCTTCGGTCATTTGAACGAGGCGGCACCACGATTGCACACTGCCAAGCACGACTCACGCAATTTCCGTAGCTAAACTGGCTAAACGCTAAACGCTAAACCGTGTATCCTAATCATCCAAATATATTGCACACCGTACAGATCATGTTGCCATATGATCTCTATGCATGTTGCACACGGTCCAGTAGCCACTAGCCACAGCCAGTATGGCTGGTATGTATGGCTCATTGGCTATGGCTCTATCAGCTCTATGCTGCTAAAGTGAACTAGCTGCGCATATGTGGATTGCGAGTAGTCGTTGTTTAGCCGAACTTTAGGGCCAACTGCGGTCAATCGCTGGCGGTGCTAGTGGTGCTACAGTGGGTCGTGTTATGTGTGAATTATGATCGTATTTCATTCCGGTTTGCCGTCTGGCTACATTAGGAACCGTTCCTGCTTGCCGTTTCCCTGACGTCCCTGAGTCTAGCCGAGCGTTGCGGAGAAGAATGATACCCGCGAGCGCGCGGAAGGGCGCTCCATAGCTGCGAGCACCGCTCCGACGGAAGGTACGACTCGATCGCTTCGTCTTCTCAAGGTGGTCATTCATTTAAAAACAGCACTCCGCTGCTGAGCAGTGGTCACGCACGCGTGGTTCTGCGATATAAATCTAAAAAAAGAAATGATGTTATCTGTTCGATAATGTCATCAATAGTGACGCACGCTCGGGAGATCGTCGCGTGTAGGTTTCGCTTTCTCGGAGCGGGCGCGGCAAGACTGTTCCGCTGTTTCCCCCCTCGCCACATCCGCAAATTTTATTTTCTCTCTCGTCTTGAAAAGTTCACTTGAACAATCGGCGAGTGACAACGTCGAGACGATGTCTTTGTGCAACGATGATGTGCCTTTATTCCGTCTAGATATGTTCGCCGTGACGCTGATCAGCGGCTACATCGTTACGTCTGTGATCCTCTTCAAGTACCCCTGCCTCTTACATCGTCGGAAGCAACTCAAATTTCCCTGCCGACATATCAGTCACCGGGGTGGTAAGTCGCGCGATTCATGCGCACGAGCGAAAAGAGCGAGAATGTCTATATTAATGTGCATTTTGCTCGTTTCAGGATCGGCAGAAAATTTGGAGAACACTTTGACAGCTTTCAGGCAGTATGTAAACTTTGCTTTTGCATGTGCACAGGGGCTGCTCACACAGCCGTGCTGGTACTTTCGTGTTATATTCATGCCTTTAGCATCTAAAAAAGAAATATATATATATATATATATGTATGTATATATATATATATATATATATATATATATATATATATATATATATATATATATATATATATATATATATATCTGAGTGTGTCGAACCGAAAAAAATACGGGCTCGGTTACGGTTCAGGTTCAGGTAAATTTATTTTGTTCCGGTTCAGTTCCAGTTCGATTAATTCGATCCGCGAACCGGTTCGCGAACCGTTTCAGGGCGCTGAACCGCCCGTTTGGAAATTATAAATGACAAATTGCAACATCAAAATAAATTACAAATAAAACATCTGAAATCAGCTCATACGAAACGGGATACATCGTAGTGTAAGGCTCAGGGATTTCTGCCAGGAATGGTTTTTTTATGTGCACTCAAAGGTTACCTCACCGACAATTACGCATTCGGACTTCGTCTAATTGGGTCCGACGCAGTAGCTGGGTGATTTCAGATAAGATCGACCAAAGGATGTCTAGTCGACATTTTCAAATCAACTGATGTTTTTATATGTTATTGTCTAGTGTCTGGTATGAACGAATCCAAACTTAGTTTTGACTAGAAAAAATACTTGGGGACAGGAAAAATCGTAAGGCATAAGGTGGTGGACAGGATGGAGGGGGCCAGTTTGAGAGTGAATAACTAAAGCGATAACATTAGGAGAACTCTAATACGTTTTAGGCGCAAACTATGGGTAAAGCTTGCTTGTAATATAAAGTAATCATATTTATTTAAAATTTATTTATTTTTCTAAAAATTGACAAACATGCCTGCTCGAACGACAAATGGCAAACTTTGGAGGTCTGTATCTCATGAAATAATTTAATAATTATGATATAATTTGCAGATATTATTCTACTAATATATAGCTAATATTTAAAAAATAACTAAGGTATCTGTGTGATACAATAGTTAGGATATATTTAGTCAAACATGGAAAAAAAATCAAACAAAGAAAAATTCCGATGCGAATAAAAAAAAAACACCACCCTCGATTTTTTTTAAATTTAGGTAACCTGTTATACTCTATTTCGGCATTCATTTCCATTAAAAACATGTTGCATCATTTTATTGAGAAAGAAGATACAACTCCCCAAAGTAGGGTCCTTTTTCAAAGCCTACACTTAGCAGTGTTTTATACAAGAACTGACTCTGAGTTCCAGTTTCATGAAACCAACACACATCTTTTATATATTCTTATTCAGATGAGGCCAATGATAACTAAAGAAATCGTTCACACACTTAAATTAAGGAGAAACTACTGTGTACAAAGAGGTATCATATTACGGACTAGTGATCCGAGAAAAGATCATGCAGCCATCGGCCACTAGGAACTTTGTTTACTTTATTCTCCTGGGACACTATATGCTATTCCCTCTTCCGCTCTACCTTCATCTCTCTCTCTCTCTCTCTCATATATATCCCTGATATATATCCAGAACAAAAACATGTTCAAGCATTCCCTTTCTGCGTGGTAGTGTTCTGTGGCTAGCAAAAATCATTTCCTCGCTAAGCTCACGATTATGGCAAAATAGTTGCCGGAAACCGCAGACGACACTCGTCGCTAGTTCTGGCAAAACGGCCGATACAATCTTTTTTTCGCATTTCCCCGCTCGCTGTCAAGGACAAGGGGGTTCGCTTCAACCAGCAAAACATGCCCGCCGACGCCTGTTTACTGAGCAGTCATGCCTGTCGCCATCTCACTCGCTGGCGTCACGGGCGATAATATCAGGCACAAAGGGGCACACCAACCGGCAGCATTATCCCCAAATACTCGAGCCTCGCGTAAATACATAGAGTGTAAACGCTGTCGCCATGTTATCGTAGTAAGACCGCCCCCCCCCCTCCCCCAACGGGGGACTGCAGTACGCGACGGCGTACTAACACAACGGCGACGATATCGACATCGCGGGCTCCGAATTTTCCCATAGTTCTACTCCACGGGCATTTCTCGAAACGCTTGATATTGTGTACGCCCGCCTGGAAGGATTTCAGGCGCGTAGTTAAGATAAGGCGGTTCTCCGCGGCAAAAGAAAGCAATTTCACAAAAGCTTAAAAGCGGCGGCGACGCGTGTGCGGTGAACGCTTGTAGTTTTGGTGTAGACAGGGTGTGTGTGTTCTCGTTGTTGACACCAGCCGGCGATAAGGCACTGCAGGCGGTAGCTCAGTACAGCAAGGGCTAATCCGAGTGACCATCAACGTAACCCCACCGCCAACCCCTCGCGAACCGGTCGCCGACATGGCTCAGGCTGTGTCATGAACCACGTGGTAGAAGCTCGGGTGCTTTCATATCAGCGCGTGGAGGGACGACAGTGCGATTCCGTAAAGTCTTTTTCGAAGGCCGCTGACCACAATTTTTTGTCTAGAGACTTTCCCTCTTTCTTCCTTTGACGTGGATCAAGCTTTGCCGACAGCCTCAGTTGTGACCTATCTTTTCAAATGTACGTTTGCAGTGAGTGAGCTCCTCAGCCTCGGACTTGTCACTTGTGCACCCAGTAGTTCTTTCACTTGGCAATTATATGCTATCAGTTGGGGTTTAATTTCTATTATTTATGTATACATTATGAAGACGTCCTGGAGCTCCGAACGAGTGTTTTGTGCAGATTACTTTTGCAAACACAAAAAGACTATACCAAAGCAGCGGAATTTTCGAAGTGTTGGCGAGTTGGACCTAAACTCGTTGAAGCAAATTCTTCCGCCTGACTATTCCACCAAAGTGAGTGCGACGGACTACCTGTGCTACCATTGCTTCATGCACATCACTAAGGAGATCTCGATGCGAAGCTCAGAGCAGTGCCCTGACATATTTATGCCAGCTGAAGAAGCAATCGAAGATCTAAATCGCAGCATACTACCTACAGATGTGTCGCCGCTGAGACAACCAAGCGTCGTAAGAAGTCGGGACAGGCCTGCCTATGTCAAGAGAAAGCAGACAGAACTGGAGCAGGTTGCTGTCAAGAATATACGCTCAAGGCTGCGTATTGCGTACAACAGGGACGCACCATCGGGGTCGTCCGAACCAACATGCTCCACATGCACTGAGTGGGTGGACAACTTTCGGCAGGCCTTTGAAACCGCCACCTCTCTCCGGGAACGTTGTCAACTGCTTACACTCCTGCCGTCAACACTGACGAAGAATGAGGTTCAAAAGATGATTCCACAGGCCTCAATGTACCTCATCAGTAAATCCCGAAAACTCAAGGAAAAGCTTGGCGTGTGGTATGAGCCGGATCCTTACACGAGGTGCAAGGTGAGCCCTGAGAACCTGTCTGCTGCCCTAGAGTACTTCACGAAAGACGAGCTACAATGTTCGCGCCAAAGTCCCAACCAGAAGGACGTCATCTCTGTCATGCTCAACGGAGAGAAAACGTTCGTGCCAAAGCGCTTCATGACACGCTCAATACGAGAGGCCTTCCGTATATACAAAGACAAGCATCCCGATTCCGGCGTTGGGCTAACGAAATTTTATGCGTTGCGCCCTAGATGGGTCCAATGTATTCCACACCAGGAAGTGTGCGTTTGTGTGCGCTGCGCCAATTATTATCTTTGTATTGCCGCTCTAGAGAACGTTACAGGCTCAACATTCAGCACTGGTGAAATGAACTCGGCATTTCTGTGCGACCCAGCAACAGAACTGTGCCTTCAAGGAGACTGTGATCACTGCCCAAAAGGCCAGTTTCTTACACTCCAGGAACTTGATATCCCGGAGGATGAAGAGATTGTGCTTGCAACATGGGAGTCCGGCGACCTTGTGAAAAAAAACTTTGGAACCTGAGACTTTCCTAAAAGTCATCCAAGTGACGGTTGGAAGTTGGGTACTTCACAACCATATCCGGCAAATGCAAGGTAAAGCGATCTACGGTGAAAAACAGTGCATGCAACGCGGGAGCATTGTCTTTCATTTTGACTTTGCTGAAAACTGGACCATCGTGCTTCCTGACGAAGTGCAAGCATATCACTGGAAAAAAAAAACAAGTTTCGATATTTACATGTGTAGTGACGACAAGAAAATCTACAAACAGCTTTGCCATCATCAGTGAGGACCTGTGTCACGACGCCGCTCACGCTTGCTTGGCTCTAGAAAAAGTGAAGGAGTGGGTTGAAGACAACGTTGCGGTATACTCGTACGTGACGTACGTAAGTGACGGCGCCTCCAGTCATTTCAAAAATCGCTACCAGCTTCACCAATTTGCAAAGGACGATTGCCCACAAGCCCAGTGGTTATTTTCTGCATCTGGACATGGGAAAAATGCATGTGACGGAGTTGGCGGACTCGTGAAGCACCAGGCCACGCTGAACAACCTGAGAGAATGTTCAGTAAGCGCAATTCAGACGGCCAGGACAATGGTGAGCGTTCTATCAAAGAAACTGAAAGGCGTGCATCTTGTATATCTGGACGAAAATGAGGTTGTTCGGTATCGTGAACAAAAAAAAGAAGAGTGGCTGACGGTGCGCGCCTTCCCTGGCATTCAGTCTTGGCACGCGTGGCGGCTCAGCAAGTCATCAACAGAAGGGACCTGTGACGTATATATAGCACGGACAGTCGGATCTGCTTGGAAGCAACTTTATTAAATGGGTACAGCGAGGAAAACCTTAGCGTAAAGTGCCGAATTTGATTTCCCAAGGACTGCTCATTTTGAATGCAGGGACATCTTATTTATCACATTTTTCTTCACGGGGTATTTAACCTACTGTTTTTGTTGGTGGTTACTAATAATTTTTATCTGATCACTATAAAAAAAATCCCAAAATGTTATCCTCGAGCAGGATAAAATATATCGGTTTGCCACGATTCATTCATACACCGAGAGCATCGAAGCTGCTCCAGTTAGGTACTATGGCATCCGTCACCTGAAATTGTTTGTAATCGTAAATACACAGCCAACCTAAATATCTTACTATTATATCTTTGTTTTTGTGTGTGGAAGTAAAGTTATTTATTTTACTCTAGATGTAAAATATACCGGAAGGTACAACTTCACACTGCATCATCTTTTCTCAAATCATTAGTCTCTAATATGATACCACTTTGTACGCTTATGTAAAATGCTGTATATAGTTTCTCCTCCCTTTTACTGTGTGACCGATCGCTCTTTTTATCAATGACCTCATCTGAATAAATGTATATAAAATATTTGTGCAAGTTTCATGAAACTGGAACTCAGAGTCACTTCTTGTATAGGACACTGCTAAGTGTAGGCTTTGAAAAAGGACCCTACTTTGGGGAGTTGTTTCTTCTTTCACAGTGCAATGATGCAACATGTTTTTAGTAGAAATGAATGCCGAAATAGAGTATAACAGGGTACCCAAATTTTAAAAAAATCGAAGGTGGTGTTTTTTTTTTATTTGCATTGGAATTTTTCTTGGTTTGATTTTTTTCCCATGTTTGCCTAAATATATTGTAACTATTGTGTCACTCAGATACCTTATTTATTTTTTCAATAATAGCCATATATTAGTAAAATAATGTCTGCAAGTTATGTAATAATGATTAAATTATTTCATGAGATACAGATTTCCAAAGTTTGCCATTTGTCGTTCGAGCAGGCATGTTTGGCAATTTTTAGAAAACTAAATAAATTTTTAGTTAATATTATTACTTTATATTACAAGCAAGTTGTACCCATAGTTTGTTTGTAAAAAGTTTTAAAATTCTCCTAATTTTATTGTTTTAATTATTCACTTTCAAACTTGCCCCCTCCATCAGTGCGCGTTATTGCAACTGTCCACCTCTCCCTGCCTTACGATTTTTCTTGTCTCCAAATTTTTTTTCTGGTCAAAACTAAGTGTGGATTCGTTTATACCAGACACTAGACAATGTCATATAAAAACATCAGTTGATTTAAAAATGTCGACCAGCCACCCTTTGGTCGATCTTATCTGAAATCACCCAGCTGTAAAATCCGCGACCTCCTTACAAACCCACTTACAAGTAGAACTCGCTAACTATCCCGCCACCTCGGCGTGTAAGCAATTGAAGGAACAGTGGGGAGAAAATACAGCTTTCTTTATTTGAACTAGCCTTCAGTAACTCAAATTAGACCCTTAAAGAAGTTTTCATTAAACAAGATACGGAATATTAAAAACACTTCACTGAACGTAACGCCAGAAGGACGTAATAGGATAAATATTAAGATAGAAGAGTTCGCTGTCTCACAAATATGTTAGCTTCTAAGTGCCTATACGAAACCGGATTTATTATTATCATACTCCACAGCCTTTTCTTTTCTCATTCCGATGGAAGCAAGCTTCAAGAACTCGCGCGTTCTAGAAACGTGTTATGAAATGAGCACACAGCAGCATTTAGGATTTACGAGATTGTAGAAAAATGAAATCCCGTGACGCGATTTTTTTTTTCTTTGCACAGCCTTCCAATTCTTTTTTTTCCGTGCAAGCCGCGACCAGCGCAATACTGGTTCCTATGTCAAGATTTATGGATGCAGCGTTTGTCAAGATTCATGGATGCAGCGTTTATATTCCTAAGACTGAGTGGAGAAGAAAAATATGTAATCGAGGTGTGTGTCAGTTGACGGCACTTAAAAAACAAATGGCATTGATAGCACATTCATTGTCAACAGCGCGTGGCCGAACCGTTTTGACGTGAGCCGGTAACCGTTATTTTTTTTCCGGTTCAGTTCCGGTTCGGGTTCATCATGATAACAATATAACAATCCGGGTTCGGGTTCTGTTCCGGAAAAATACCGGTTCGGTTCCGGTTTTCGGTTCGGTTCCGTTTCGACACCCTGATATATATATATATACACACGTATGGTGGGGAAATTCTTTACTAGGACAAAACTAAAAACCGTTTTTGCGTCACATTTTTAGTTCTCGAGTTTTTTTACTTCAAAAGGACCAAGGGCAGATTTGGAAATTTGGGTGATTGTCACAGTTTGCATCTTTGAGTGCTTTGCCCGGATCATTAACATTTTGCACATTCTTTTTGTAAACTTGCGGTTTTGCCAGTGACATCTTTAGCTGTAATATGCTTATATGTTTACTTTGCTGTGATAACAAACATTATAATGGCACCATCCTGTGCTGTTCTTTTTTTTTTTTTAATATTATATACGACAGCAAGCTCACTATCATTCCCATTGCTCATTTCACTCAAAAATTAATCAAACCCAACGTGCCTCGAGAAAAAACAAAACTTCTTTGTACCACTGTTTTTTCTTTTAGTGTGAAAAGATATACTTCTATTTTTTTTGCAATATTTTCTGAAGGCGAGAATCCCAAGCTAGGTAGCAAGGTGCATCCCTAAGTGAAAGTTTGTGCTTGCAGCCTAGTAGCAAAATTGTCACACAGATGATTAACGAGACAAAAAGCTGGGAAGCACATATTAAAATGAAACATGAGGCGAATGAAAACAGGGTTGTATAAACTATGTGAATAAGTATCTTATAAAAGCAAAGCTATGTTTCGAGCGGACATGGATTGGCGACATGAGATCCTTATGGCATGCCATTTCTAGTGCTCCTCACATGAGAGTGCTCCAGACGAGAGTGTTTGAGACCTGCTTTGTACCATAACATTGAATGTAACAAAAGTTATCACCCAAACCAGGTAAATTATTGTCAAAGGGGCTCGGCTCAAACTTTTTAAACCAAACCACAATTTTATTATCATTTGGATTTCTTTAGTGTTGTTCTAAAAAACCTTGTAAAAAGATTTTTGTTCTGCAAAAAACATCTGAGCATGGCAAAGCACCCGAATATGCAACCCGTGATGATCACACAAATATCAAAATCCGTGTTTAGTCCATTTCAGGTTAAGGGAGGACACTATCCGAAAGGGTCTAATTTTGAACCTTTGGCTTAATATCAATTAAATTTACTGTATATACTGGCAGTTGCGAGGCAGAATACTGTGCAAAGCTTCATCTGTGTACATGAATTGTGAACAAAATTATAGCTAGTCGTTTTTATCAGGAACATTGACATTGTTTAGGATAACTCGTTATTAAAGTAATGTAACATGACATTGTTTAGGAAAGGTCGTTACTAAAGTAATGTAATACCCAACATTTTCCTTCACTATATACGCAGCAGAATGCCTAAAGAGTGCAACTGTAAAAAACAAATTTTCAAACAATAATTTATTTTATGCTAATATTCCAGTTAGAAAAAGCAATGAGTGAGCATCTCCTTTTTGAAGAAGTGGTGTGACAATGAGTATGGGTAGTACCGGGCACAGTCACGATACGCGAGTTTCGGTTTTGAGGCCTCATCAGCGCAAGCCTGCAAGTGTGCACATTATTAAAATAACGGCACTAAACTCTGTTCACCCTTAAGCTAAGACTGCAGCCAAAGCTACAAGTGCGAGCTAACCCACGCTCCTGGCTTTGAGACTTTCCAGTGTGAGTGCTCGCTCTGCGGAAGAACGCTTCTAAGCAGCGACCTCCAGCTCTCGTGCTTAGTGGCGGGTGACCAGAATATAGCACTGTGTCCTTACTTTCTCTGCAAGTCACCGTTTCGTGTGCAAAGCCTTCATCAAAGAGAAAACAATATTATTCTAAATATGCATGTTTTTTTATTTGAGTCGCTTGATGCCAGCTTTGCTTGAAAGTGTGCTGAGTGTGCGTCCATATTCGCAGCGTCTCGTTTTTAACTTTTAAAATGCCGCTTTTTGATGGTAGGACACGTGGACGTTAGGAAGATGGGAGAGTTAGGAATGTCGGATGTGCAACGTCGAGCATGATAGCTCTGTGTTTGGTTTTATGTGGATAGTTGAAAACCGCGAAATAACGCTAATTTAAAAGCCATATTATTTTGTTGTGGCACAAACTACTCGTGAGCCGAAAACAGGATTCCTATAATTGCGAGGAGTGCTTTAATTGTACTTGTCAGTCAGTGTTGGTACTACCTCGTTGCATATATCACTGGAAAGATCAAATGAAAATGACTTCATCCAGAATATACTGCGTCAATTCCTGGTCAATCTTCTGTTGAGGCAGAAAATATTCGAGAGAACCACACTCACAAAGGCTGGCAAACACACACTTACCATGTCGCCTCAATGTCACACCTCTCCGTAGCCGCTGGTAGTACGTTGCTAGTACTACACTGTACGATGGTGACCGCAAGGCGTCCATTTAGATTCCATGGCCCCGTCGCGTTCTCGCGCGTGTGCAGACGTTTGCCAAATTTTTGTTGAATCTTCGCTGAACTTTCTTTCCAATGTTCGGCATTTGCCGAACTTTGCTGAATCTGAAGTTTGGCAGATTCAGTCCATCTCTACTAGCAAGAAATGAAAAAAATATCCTCTTTCTTGCTGACAAGTGTTTTTCACTTAAATAACCTCACAAGTGTCCTGAGTATCAGTTCTTGTTTTGACAATATTAGGCTTGGGTAAACGTCGGCTCGTAGAGAAATTTTGTCTTTCTTAATTACCTTTTAATCCAGGTAACGTTATGTTCTGAAACTTTCGCATTCTATCCCAACTGCTAGCGTCACATTCTCACGAAGTTTGAGCTTTCTCCGACGTATAGTTTATTTACCTGGGCTGAAAAATGTGGTTCTCTTTTCTCGGGAACTGTGTTCTCGGGTATATATCTTTTACGCGGGTCATCTTTATCATCTTACATGACAATAGTTGAAATATACCGATCACTAAACCATACTGTTAAAATTAAACCGGTAATCAGGAGACATGAAACTTGAATTCCAGTGCCGCCAAAGATTTTTTTTTGGCAACTTTGTAACACTTTACCCATTCAATGAATATAGTTCATGCATGTTTCGGTTATTTTTTACAACATTTTTACACAAAGCTAATTGATCATAGGAAACAACAAATAGCAGTAATCATCAGCACAGTGGAATTATGTTGGCTGCATGCCACGTTTAGTAGGCACTGTTTCTTGTTTTTTTCCAGTGCTCAGAAAGCCGGCACGGATCTTTTGGAACTCGATGTTCAGCTGACAAAAGACAAGAAAGTGGTTGTGTCTCATGATAACACACTGCTTCGTTCAGCTGGTGTCGACAAGCTCATTTCAGACCTTGCTTACACGGTAAGGGAGCCCTGAAAGCTATTTATTGACTGTAAAACTGTTCTTTTTGTTGAAGTACCATAAAATGCCGGGCGTGCACCCACCTTATTTTTACTGAACACTGGGTTAATCTAGGCATGTGCGCTTGTCCGGTCAAATCGGGCGCTTAACGTATAGACGCTTTGCAGCAGCTGTGCATGGACGCCGCCATAACTGACCTTCAGTTTTTGTTTCCACTTATTCCGTTCGTTTCCCTTCATCATTACCATAAGAGGCCAGGTTATTGCCATATTAGACTCAATTGTGTCCTTTTCTAAAGCATCGGATTTTGTAGAGGATCGTCAACTACCGTTTCAGTTGCTCGCCATCTCGGTAAGACAAGAGAAGGTCAGCAATGGCGGCTGTAATTTGGCGCGTGTGTAAAGCGTCTATATTGTGCAAAATTCCCAAGTTTGGGAAATGTTAATAGTGGGTGCTTGAACGTAGTAGGCGCTTCCGCGGTATTTTATGGTAAGGTTAAAGGGACGGTGACAGGGTATTTATGCTCTCCAAGGTTTTTATTTGTACAGGACATATGAGAGCCCAACTGCCCAGAGCACAACTTGCGGCTGAAAATTTGTTTTCTTCCTGCCCGAAAACCGCCAATCGAGAAATAGATGTAGCCCACTGGGAACAAAGCAGCAAAACAGGATTAGCTTTGTGTCCGGTGGGTCGCTCCAAATTGTAACACAAAACGTGTTTTAGGACTTGTTTCTAAGCCTAGAGCGTCACAAAATGTTGTGACGAAAATAGGATAACAGGGCCATTTGTCTCTACAAATGACTGTCTCCCAACGGGAACCAAATCCCACTGGCCTCGCTCGGTAATCTATTGCTTTGTTCCCAACACTTGTAAAGCTGCTGTGGTTAGCACGGGTGTAGTCTGTATATACGTATTTGCGTGGCCTCTGCACATGCTGAGTCTTCCAACCCTATTTGAAGGATTAAAATACACATTAAATTTCTTTCTGACGTCTTCTCAGTTACTGCATATAAATGCAGTTCAGTTTTGTTCTTTCTTTTTTCGCCCCCACTAGGCAGTTTTGTCCTCGGCGGAGTGTCCTTTCTGGGTGATAAACGACCTTTTATTTGAGTAGTCGGCAACTGTAACTCCCTTAAAATAAACGTTGAACAAAAAAAAAAGTATTCAAATTAATTCTTTTTTTAATTTGTTTTTGTAGAATGTGCTTTTCATGGAACGAGTCTTATTTCTTTTATTATTGTTGCCGCAGGTTTGGTAGAACCAGGTGTTATGGCAGCTGTGGCCTTGCTTTCTGGCATTGCATATATCCCCTGTACAAAATGTCTACATAGGTGTATTTTCAAAATTATTAAAGAGGAACTCCGCTTTGTTTTCTAGATTTCCGGGTTTCTCTTTCTGTCCTTGTCCCTTTCACGCTGTTTTTCACATTGAGCTTTCACATATATTTATTACCGAAATACGAAAAATATGACCCAGTCATTGTACGATCTGGCCTGGAAACACTCAGAAGAGAAGAGGAGGAAAAGAAGATTGAGTGCGAGGACCATGAGCAAGGGATTGGAACCCGGTTTGTCGGGAGAGACGGTGTGTCCCTGGCAGGAAAAGCGAAAGTTCCGAACATCTAGCCGATGAGCTCTCCCTCAAGTCCAGCCTTGGCCCCACACCAGGGAAAGGCTCCGACACTGCACGAATGAGTCAACCCTACGGGCCCCAATGGACCGTCGTGATCCATGACAACTTGTTTCTTTGCTATGGAGTTGCTTTCGCTTTTTTTTTCTCACAGTATATTTAGCCGACCAGAACATTTACCTTCAAATTCAGATTTACGAGCATCGGAAGTTCAGACTGTTGTCGGATCCCTTTTGAGGCGCGGGTATCCACAAGGTTTTATTGAAAACACGTACAAACAGATGCAGCAAGGAAGAACAAAAGAAACTAACAATTACAAAGCAGGCGTGGTAACTATCCCTTATGTAAAAGGCGTCTCAGAATCTGTTCGCCGGTGCCTCCTTCCATTGGGTATACAAACCACTTTCAAACCCTATATAAAATTATGCGACCTTATTTCTAAGCCAAAGGATCCAACCCCTCCTGAATCGCAAAGTGGTATTGTATATAATGTGAACTGTCAGGACTGTGACAAGTGTTTCATCGGAGAAACCGGCCGTAAATGGAGTACCCGCCTCAAAGAGCACAGAAGAGACGTGGAGAAGGCAACACATGCCACAAGGTCAAAAACTGAACTGGTGGACCATGGTTGGACGACTGGTCACACTTTTGATTTCACGAATGCTGTGACCCTGGCACGGGAACAACGGTGAGGCCCCAGAAGATTTCTGGAATCATGGTGTATTTGCAGTGACCCATCCGCCTGTAATTCTAACACCGGCTCCCTCCCCGACGTCTACACTGACCACCTGCAATAACTTTTCATTTAACTTCACATCTATGACGGACGAAAAAGAAGTTCGAGCGAGAGCCGACAATGTCTCTCGACGATGATGATGTCTCCCGTATGCCATGGACAGAGAAGTCGGCAGAACCAGCGCTACGGATGAAGAGAAGGACGAAGCAAGCGTTTGGTTGCTTGTAGCTAGTCGGGTGTTCTTAGGCTGCACTGATGATGTCTCCCGCATAGGAGACGAAATGTCTACTTATAAATTGTTGGTGTTATGCAAGTCGGAGGTATTTGTTTTTAATCAAGAATCCCGGCTTTTGGAACATTTTTGCCACTTTAATGAAGGCAATTGGCTCGTAGAGGCGTGCAGTCACTCTTGGGGAAACAAGATGGGGACGAATTCTCCCCATTTGTAGTTTGTGTTACCCTGACATGGCTGTATGAAGGGTTTCTTCTGTTCCAGGAAATACCGCCCTTGAAGTCAAGTCTGCCTGTTGACTTCTGGAATGGTATGTTAAACCAAGCTGCTCCCAAAGGCTGTCATTTAGCATCTTTTTAGGAACCTTTACTTATTAAAGGTACTCTCTCATTTGGTTTTTGCTAATCTACATGGAGGTTACAAAGTTCATAAATTTAGGAAAACCTTTTGCACTTACTCAATAAATAGGTCCAGTGGTGGTTGCATAACGCAAGTTCTTTTTTAAGACACTTCCTGTGTTATGTGTTTATCTTTCATACATGTAATTGCCTGGTTCCTGTAGCAGTGATTAGCCCTGGCTGGGAGCTAACCAGATGTAGGTCAATTCCCACGTAATGCACTGCTGGTTTTTAGTCTTGGGTGCTTTCATGGTAGGCTATTCGCGACTCCAGCGACCTATAGGGGGCGCCACCGCCAAACAAACATGGCGGCTGAGTCCAGGTCGCGGCAGCTCGGCAGGGCCGCCTGAACAGGTGGCGCGTTCAATTTAACATATTTTCTTTTGTTTAATGCCCAATTTTATAGGTATTTGAACTGAGACGGTTAAGTGTAGCCGGTGCAGATAAACTTGCAAAGCATAGTTTTGTTTTGCCGGTGTTTTTTTGTTCTTTTCGTGTCAAACTTTCGTTTCGGAGATTTCGTTCAAAACCGAAACTATGGGCTACGGAGAGACGGTAATATACTAATCAGTTTTGATCATCTAAGGAAAGCGGCGATAACTATAGAATTGTTCCACAGAGAGTAACTTTTCAGCTAACTCGCATACCTCGACCATGCGACTTATCTGTCCGCGAAATCGAGCTTTTGTGCGTATCCGCGTTACGAAACAGCTCCAGTCGTCTGCTCGGCCAACAACACAGGCTGCAGGAAAATTACGAAAATTAAGCAACCGCTTCTTGAGCCAAGGACCATGTTAACCCGCCGGCGCCCCACTAAGCAGCTGATACTCGTATTTCAATTCAGGTTTTAGTAGCAATCAAGAAGTCATTTTGACGAGCGGGTTATGTTATATTACGTATACTATGGGGGGGGGGGGGGGTCCCACTAAAGCGATATTAGTATATCCTTCGGGTTGAAATATGAGCTTAGTTGACTAGCTATTAGGTGAGCTGCTGAATAAAAGTATATTTGACAGACGGAGACGTACTACTTAAACTTAGCCAAATGATTCTATAGCCGGCAGCACGAAGACAAACTGAAGAGGGTCTTCATTGAAGATCCACGCAGAACCTCTCTGCATTGAACTTTGCTTTGAATCCTGAACGGAGAAATTTAGTATTTTTTTTTGTGGCCGGTCCACCTGACCAATGTAGACGTATATTGCTGCTGGCTTCGACGTCCTCGTAATATAAATATTTGGGGCGCGATAGGTCAAAATGCTGTGACAGCATCTTATGAAAACAGATAATTTCCCTCATTCATCATTTGAAAACAGATAATTTCCCTCATTCATCATCTGCAGCGAGCAAGTTTTCCTGAATCAAGTAATTGCGAAATCAGCCCAACTCCTTCAGTGTGGTCCAGAGGCTTTTTCGGCGAAAAGCAGCCAAGATGAATAGCCAACGCACCGACCGGCGTGGGTGGCTCAAACTTGAAGCTAACCGAACACAACCAAACTCAAGAAAAGCAGCTATCGAACCATCCCATTCACTTGACTGCAACATTGATGTTCCCTCCGGTATTAGTTACCAAGCAGTCGTCACTTTGAATGTGATTCGAGACAGACAAGAAATCAAAAAGTTTTTCCGTGATTCCTCCCCATCCAAGAAATCGAAAGCACGCGACCGTGTGCTGTAAAGTAAAGGGGCTTTCAAACACGTAATAGAAGAAAACAATCTACTGAGGCTTCACCACACTAATGATCACTCAGGCGAACTTAAGAAATATTCTGACCTTCGTCAAATTACATTGTTCGCCACCGCGCCGACAACACATATCCGCGAAAGCCACCAGAGACGCGGAGGGGCGCGGAGCGACCTGGACCGACTGGTTCCCGGTTTTCCCGCTTGGCGGCGTCCGTTTTGCTGGAGTCGCGAATAAGGCAAACTGTTTGTTCCAGTGGTGAAAACATGTTCTCTTTGACAAGCCAGTACTTAACAGTGAACTAGAGATAGTCTGTAGTGACAAAAGTCTGAGACTAAGGCTTGTCCCCTTTCCTGTGTTCCTCAGTCTTGTATTTTTGTCATTCTGAATAGTCGTCAACTATGGCTTGTTTTTTTGTATTTCTATAGATTCTATAGATAAAGATAATGAAAAAAGGTTGGGACTGGAAGTGTATGTCCAGTTGCAAGTTTAAAGCAAATGTTTTCAGGCACCTAATTTTTACGAAGTTGACACCTTGGGAAATTTGCATTGCGCTTGTTTTTAAAAGCAAAATTCTAGCATTTGAGCTAAGTGTTACCTCTCTGATTTAGGTGGGAGAAAGTTGATTGGTAGGGTTCACAGCAAGACTTCTGCAATGAGCACAATATTAGGTTGAGGTAAGGAGGTAACTTAGTTGAGGGGACTAGTAGTCGTGGAATATTAGCAGCACTGTGCAATATCAAAAGGTTGCTGCATGGGTGTTTCTGCTGTCTGAAACCAGTCGGAAGTCTAAAACGGTAAAGAAGTGTCATTGTTAATTGCATGTTGCATTCCTAGTGGCATGGCTGCACGGTGAGGAAGCTGATTTGCAGAAAGATAAAAACTATCTCGTTTTGGCCAGGACAGCCCCGTCATATTTTTCTCGCTGAAGCATCATCTCCTCTTTTTATGGGAATGCGCAGGGTTGTGAGATCCGTATCGAGTGAATGGAAAATAATATTAAATCAATGTTTACTCGTTGCAGGCATAATTTTGTGAAAATATTATTTTGGGCTTGGAGATCTTTTTTGTTTCGATGTTTTCGCAGGTTTGATAACTATTTCTTCCCACAGAAACAAAACGTCCTTTTCTTCATGATCGCCGGAGTTGTTACGTGTATTTGCTCGATGCTCGACCACATGCTACAGAATCAAAGAAGAAAGCTGTGTCTGGTTGGTTCTTTCAGGACAGCCCTGTCCAGAGTCCAAGGATCGCAGAATGCCACTTCTCTGCGAAGTTTTTGCAGAATTTCCGAGTACCCCCGTCAACATTGACATTAAAACGCCAAATGAAGAGCTCATCCAGGAGGTCTCTTTTTTTGCACATTTGTCCATTGATTTTGAATGATGTTACCCGAGGTATTGCCTATTTTCAGGTGCACAAGCTGATCAAGCAATTCAACAGAGAGGACATCACAATCTGGGGAAGCTTTCATCACAGCGTCACCAAGAGATGTTACGAGCTGGTAGGGATATAAGTTTCTTTTTCTTGGCACCTTTCTTGTCTGGTCATTTCTGGCACATTACATTTAGGATACAGCCTTTTCATCCTGCATCCTTTGGGAGTGACTTTTTTGTGCAACAAGTTTGCCTATTTTTGTATATTTTCTGGAGACCGTAATTCATATTGCTTGAAATGTTTTTGAACAGAGTGGTTGTACTGTACTTACTCCTGTTTACAAGTTTAGTTCTCAGTATATTATATGCTGGCAGAAAGCATTGTGCAAGGACCCTTCCATTTTCAGCTCTGAAGTTGTGCACCATCTTTTTTGTCATAGAATGCGCCTACACAGCTTGGCCATACAACCACACGCACGGTCACACGCTAAAAGCGACTTCAGTGCGGAAACACGTTGCAAGTCAAGAGACAGATGGTTCTGGTTTCGGTATTCTCTGCTGAAAAGTAACTCTAGCTATGTTAATTGTCACAGTTACAGTAGCGAGGGATTAGCGCTAAAAGTTGACATGCCACAGTTACCAGGGAAGACAAAAGTGACACTTGACCTAAATTGTCCTTTCAATCCTATGGTTCCAGAACCCGAGGATCCCGTTGTTCTTCTCGGCTCGCAGCCTACTGTACCTGCTCATCCTGACCTGCACTGGCCTGTTGCCTTTTTTCCCTATCAAGGAAACCTGCCTCGAAGTTCTCTTGCCACATGTGGCCACCAAGTAAGACGTCTGTTTGGGACCTGCACTTATCTCGACTGCTCAATGCAGCGGTGTTCATCAGGCAAGCCTGCTTCAGAACACTGCCAGTCACCTTTCTGCAAATGAATACCATCTGATGCCGGGAACAGGCCAGATTTTCTCATTGAAAACATTGCAAAATCGCTTATAACTTTTGAATAAGAAAATTGTAAGTTCTAAACCTTGCGCATCGGATCCAGACCGCAATGACTTGGCATTTGGGCAGAGACTGAGCGTTCGGCAGCACATAATTCATTCTTGCAGTGCAAAAAATGTTGTTCTTTTTTCTCCCATGTGCTCACTATAGTCCTTATACTGTGCCATGCTTAGATACCGTAAGAACCTAAGAGATAGCCCACCTAACATCAAGAGCAAATCGGGTGAAAATGCGGAGTGGGCTAACTCGCGGTGTAAAATCAAGAAATGTTCAACAAATTGCTATTTTTAGGTCGTGTCCATTCCAAGCTTGTTGTTATGGCGAGGGGCAACGAAGCAAAGATGACTGTACCTCCCAGTCAGCAACGTTTGCGTATATCCCGCCATAGATAAGTGGCCGCATTTACGCGAAGGCCATAATTGATCCCAACACTACTATCACTAGAAGTGGGCTAGCTTTTGGTGTTTAAAAAATATAGTGAAGGGAGCCAAACATGAGGGTGGGCTATATTTAGGGGGTGGGGCATCTCTCGGGAGTTTACGGTAGACATCAGCTGTTGGCATTTTGAGTGGAAACATATTTACAAATTTGACTGAAGAGGCGTCCTCTTCCCTTTGATGTCGTCATCGTTGAGAAGTTCCAATGCAGATCTTGATGTAGCAACATTTTGTTGTGTTTTGCCCACACATTGGCATTGTCCTGTCGTCCCGTTGGTTGCATTCTGAAGACGGCTTTGCCTGAGCTCAACTCTGTCTATGATTCCATAAAGTTTTAACTTGGGCTCCGTGAGATGAATGTAATGTTTTGAAAGAGTGTCACAAAACACTGTTGCCCGGCCAATAAATGTACCTAAATTTAGTAAGTTTCGCTAAATATTTATTCATAATTAATAATGATTATTGATAATGAGAGAAATACTTATGCATCCTTTCGCTGCATGTTTTATTATCTCCCGCCTTTTTTCATAAAATTTGGCTAGCTTCCATATTTTAAAGTCTACCGATTGTATGTCTAGCAAGCAACATTTCTTGGATCTCGCTGGCAGCCATATTCCAAAATTAAAATGGTTCGAAAAGCTTTCATACATCTTGCCGTGCTAGACACTCCTTAATGCCCATTTTGTTTTTGTACTAATGCATGTATAAGGATGCTGTCTTCGTCGGGAACATCTACCAACAAACAAGACATAAAGTAAGATTACTATTAATTATAACAATAATAGAATAATAGAATTTATTCCCATTTCGAGAAATGGTGGAGCATGAGGAAAAAAGCATCAGTGTGAAACTTGACGATATCTGAGCGACATCGGCAGTGGTACAGAAAAAGTTTGTGGAGTACACTCATTATTAATGCAAAAGAGCACATATTGTTATAATATTTTGGTAATAAAACCATTTAATGTTATAAGCAGATTTCTGTCTTCTCCATATATCAAAGAGATGGTGCAACAAAATTCCAACGCCTATTTTATTGTCTAAATGTCAGCCATGTTCTGGCCACACCATGGAGACACCAACTTTTTGCTCGAAAAGGCAGCAAAACATTATTACTAAACAGAGTGTGGTCACGTCACACTCCACATATAGGCAGCGCCGCTCCATGGGAGTATGGAGGCAAGCTCCGTGCTCGCGAGCCTCGTCGAACTTGGTCGAACCGGATCTGCCTTCTCTTTCAACTCGTATGGGGGAGAGGGAAGGAGCTACTCCAAGTGGCCAAGCTTCACGTCTGAGGGGGGGGCTGGCGTGGTTGCGAGCTTGACAACCTGGCCGTTTTAGTTGCCCCTCCCTGCTCCCCACAGGAGCTGAATAGGCATGGGAGAGAAAGGAGATCTGGTTTAACAAAGTGCAACAGGGCGCACTCAGCATTCCGCCCTATTTTTGCGCAGCAGCGCTGCCTTTATGTGGAGTGACTTTCGGTTTACAATCGCCGACAGATTTTTCCGATTCCGATTATTCGGACGTTTTCGCCTAACCGTCACTCACGCCATGGAGTTAATGTATAACATTGACCCTAAATTTCAAACACCATTAAGCTTATTGCTCGATATTTCGGACATAATTTGTGTGATTTCCTGAGTTAACAGCCGCCGCGATAGCGCCGCGAGCTTGATGACCGGCATTTTTGTTGTTTTGATTTTGCCCAGTAGCCTCGATACCATGTATTACGCAATAAACAAGTTGGGTTGAGGCTATAGTCGGGTTTGCGGTTCCGCTATAGCCAATATGACTGCCTGCCAATTCTTATGGCTCTTCCAGTTCTTCTCGTGGTCCGTGTTTCTTGAGTGCGACTGCAAGAGGAGCAGCAGTCTGCCGTTCTTGTGGTCTATAGGCGCGAAGGTTTTTTTACCGATAGGCTTAGTATTAAAGTGAGCTTGGAGGACTAAATGTTGTCTCCACATAGTACCAAATGGCGCCATTCGCTGTTTGTGCCAACGAAGGCGCCGACGAAGCGCAGCATCGTGATCAAACAGATCATCAAAGAGGTGAAAAGTGAACATAATAAAGCGGAAGTTGCACGAGAACTTAAAATTGACATCAAGCAAGTGGAAAGTGCACAATACGCAGCGGAATATGCGCGTAAATTTAATATATTTGGCTGAAATAGATTTTTTGGGCCGTTTAATTATTCGGATAATTTCGGAGTCCCCTCAGAGTCCGAAAAATCAGTTGGTGACAGTATCTGGTTTAAATAATGTTTTGGTGATTTTTCGAGCGAAAAATTGCTGCCTCCGTGGTGTGGTCATAATGTGGTTGACATTCAGACAATAAAATAGGTGCTAGAATTTCGCAGCAGTATCCCTTTAAAAGGACATGGAGCTTCTTTCAAACTGGGGTATAAAATAGTGTTGTTGCACTGTTCTGCCACGTCCCTCAAGTGTAGCTGACAACACGTTTCTGCATGTGCATTTTCTTTGCTTCTTGGATTCAGAAACCCAGGAATGAGGCAGCAAACCCAGTATCTGAGAGGAATGGTCCTGCTTAAACTGATTGACTGGTAAGTATTGGTGTAAAAAAACTGAAACAAAATCAGGCAAGCTGTGCATTTAGGCGAGTTTCTCACACTTGGGCATGTGGTGGTGCTGTACAAGGGATTGCTTGTTCTACAAGGTTGGCCCTCGATAATGTTGAGGTGTTTTTGCATGACATAAACCTCATGCATATCGTAGGATTCTGGAATATCACAAGAAGTTAGCCCCAGAAGTAAAGCTATGATGCAGTGGAGTCATCCCATAATGTTACCTGAATCAATCATGAGCTAGAAGTGATTTCTTGGAAGATTCTCCTTTGGTACCAGACCGGCTATTTCACTTCATGGCTAGGGGCGGTACTACTATCCGTCGATTTTGTCGCACGATGGTTCCGCACAAAAACCACTGCGTTGAACTGATGGCCGACAGTATTTATGGAACGTAACGTGGCTGCTCGGTGATGTAAGGTGCTATACACGGCTATTTGAAGCGAGGAAATGACAAAAGAATCGCCTTTTTGAAATTGTGCTTTTGAATATGTTCTGGCTCTTTTGAATCTTTTCCCAAAGTATTTTGGCGAAATATGCCCTGTTTATCTCGGGTTATTGATTTGAAGTATCTAAATGGAAATCTTTCCTGCAAACAAAAAACAGAAAAAATGGTACACTTTAACCGCCGGTAGCTCGAGAACCACGCGATTGAAGGGAGACATCTTGGTCTCACTGGAAAGCTCGAGTCCAACTCTTTTCATTCCCACCAATCATGATGCTAGGTGGCGATTGGCTGCCGAAAACGAAGCACAAATAAAAAGTTAAATTTCGCCTTGCGGTTCGCTGTAGCGAATCACACGTGCAAATGGAAGTTTCTCATTGGCCATCAGTGTTACACAGCATCTGCTTGTCATTTCCGATCCGCCTTCTCGCCAAGCGTCGTGTGTGTCTTTCACCGTGCCGATCACAACAACTCCACGTACCAAGTTTAATACAGCCCACAAGTTCGAGAGGAAGTGAAAAAAGGGACCGAGAAAACTAATCCACGATGCAGTTCGACTTACCGCGAGCCCAGATGTCGACGACGAAGTGAGGAAGTCCGAACACAAACGCATCGCCCCGACATCCGCGACTTCGGGATGGCCGACAAGCAAGCGAGTGAGGCTCGATGCGACGATGCTCGGCACTTCCGAGATCAACGAGAGAGAAGGAAAAGCCGAGGACAATCTGACTTTCGTCGACATCCACTACGACACGAAAAGCTGAACTCGATGGCCGGCGCCGATTGAGCAGCATTTGACAGTACAGCGAGTTTCATCGTCGTAAGCCTCAATGTCGTTCTCTCCTTCAATCGGCGAAGTGTAAAGGTTCTTGCAGCGATATGGAACTCGCAAAATGCGATCGGGAGTACTGACTCGCAGTAAAAGTCAAGCTCCGTTGTTGTGGAAACGTCGCATCTGAGTGGAGTTTGCTACGGCTCCTAACAAGATCCCCTTCGTGCGCCACACAATCCACAGGCAATGGACAGACGACCCTCAACGATATCTTTGCGGCATATCGTACGGAGGCCCACGCAATAAGACATACCAGCGGTATGTGAAGGAGAAACTAAACCCCGTAACCAAGAGGGCCGCCTTCGAAATGTCGGAGTGCGCGACAACCGTGAGCCACCCTGTACAAGTAGCTGCTCTACAGAAGCGCAAACAACATCGCAGTCTCCTACGACGGGAGTTGAAAGACGAGGGGTTACTGCTCACACGTTGGAGTGGGGCCAGTGATAGAGCACTTCGTTGGTCCTGCATTCGATCAGGTTGCAATTTCAAACTATCGCCTCATTCGAAAAAAGGGCCAAAGGAAGGCACCGTGGGCTACGGCGACCAAAAGTCTTCCCACGGGGCCTCGGGGAAGTGGAACGCAAACGGCAGTGCTGGCCAAATGGAGGTCGAGGCAGCCCTGATACCCTTCGAGAGGTCCTGGGAGCAACGCGGCTGATGCCGCACTACAATGTTCTCGGACAATGACGGCCATTCGTTCGCGGCCCTCCGAGAAGCCAACATCTATGGGTTTGTTCCCATAGAGAAGTGGGACCGTGTAAATCGCATCCAGAAAAGAATGGGGACGGCTTTGCTGAAGTGGAAGTGCTAAAGCGGAAGGGAGCAATGTGCACCACCCTCGGTGACAAGGGAAGGCTCGTGGCTGAGCTCGTGGTCAGGCTCGTCTCTTACTACGGCTACGCCCTGGAGTTGCACATATACCTGCATCACTTCCAACGACACCAAGGCCAACCACCACTTGTGTCCTGCTGGAGAACAATCGCGGTGTAAGCGGAATGCAGCCCAAGCGAAAGGGGAGCCCTCTCCTAAGCACCGCTACAACCTTCCGGATCGTGTCTGCACGGCCCTTCTTCCTGTCTATGAATGCCTCGCCGGCAAGAAGTTGCAGCGATGCCACAGAGGCAAAACGCAAAATGTCACCGAAAGTTTGCACTTCCCGATTTGGTCGCTCGCACCCAAGGACCGGAATAGTGCTCTTTTCACGATCAAGGCAGCTTTTGCAGAGGCAACCCTCTGATTCAGCGTAGAGAGCCAGCGGGCATCAGCTGCCATCCTTGGGGAGCTGGACCTCCACCCGGCATGAAGTGTGCGAAGCGAGGGGCCGAGCAGGATCCTTGCTGCAGTGCCTCTTTGGACGCCCAAGCATCTAGGCCTGTACACAACCGATCTTTATAATTTTTTCTTTTTAGAGTGCAGCTCTTAGGCGCCCGTTTCCGGCTTGAGCGGTGTCGCCATAACCGCGCAGTGCATTACGGGTAAATTTCCCCGCTAAATTTAGCGGAAAAATTTCCCCGCTAAATCTAGCAGAAAAATTTCCACGCTGAATCTAGCGGAAAAATTTCCCCGCTAAATCTAGCAGAAAGATTTCCCTCCTAAATTTAGCGGACAAATTTCCCCGCTAAGTCTAGCGGAAAAATTCCCCTGGGGGTCACGTGACCCCCCGAGGTCACGTGACACCCTCCCAGGTCACGTGACCCCCTCCCCGAGGTCAAGTTAATGGGGCCACGTGACCTCGTGGGGGGGGGGGGGGGGGGGGCACGTGACCTCCCACGTCGCCCCCCCCCCTCCCCCGAGGTCACATGACCCCATTAAGGTCATGTGGCCTGGGGGGGTCACTTGACCCCTCCCCAAGGTCACGTGACCCCCCCCCCCCCCCCCCCTGAGAACACGTGACCTTCAGTATCTTTCCCTCATCCTCCTCAAGAGCTGCGCTCTAATTCGGCGTTACAGGGAGTTGTAAACGGCTTTCGCTTTTTTTTTTTGACGGGTGTTAAGTGGGGTATGCAATAAGAAGTCTAATTGCATCAGCTTATTAATAAATATTTTGTTTTAGTACCCCCGAACACATATTGTAAAAATTAATTTACAAACTGAAAAATTTCAAAATGTTGTAAAAACGTTATAATTAATCCTAGAGCCTCCATTTTTACCTTATTGCATTTTGTAGACCTAGTTTACAGCGATATGATTATTTTGGGGTTTTGTCTTCTGAACTTTTCAAAACCTCGCCTGTAAAATGTTTAAATAAAATAGTTAATGTTTTCGAAACTAACCGAGCTATTTCAAATAATCGGAATCTGAAGATGATTATACTCGGCAAATTTAATTTGAATTGCACCAAAAATTTAAGAAGAAAGAAAGCTCTAGAAGCAGTGTTGCCCCTTGTGGGGTCAATCTATAATAATTACTGCCACCTGATCGGTCAGTGGTTCGCTCGTCTCCCAAAGAGTGACACAACGGACCGAGAAGACAACAAACGGGTTTACAGTACTTCCCGATTGCCCGTTCTCGAGAGCCAGCAGTCCGGGCACGCCGACTGACGAGAGTCCGCCAACAAAGCCACGACCGGCTGGCACTGAACTCGTTCCCCGCACCACAATCCACCAGTGCCGTTCAGTCTCCGAAAATGATAAAAGCGGATAACGAGAGGGGAAAGCTGGCCCTCTATCCCGAAGACAAGGTCAGCTATTCGTGTGGGAAGGGTCCACTTCGAAGAAAGGGTGGGGACATCCTCTTCCAAGCTGACAAGGCGCGTCTGGCTGGGCATTGCTTGTGCGAAATCGAGGGGAATTGTAGGTGGGTTTTGCAAGTCCATGTCTCTGTTTTCGCTGCCCGAAGTCGTGACGCGTGCGAGCAGCCCAAAGGAAAACCTTCAGGAGCAAAATTTTTGGATCGTAGATTAAACTGGGTTGTAGATAGTAAAACAAGGTTGCCAAACGCAAGTCTCAAAAGATCACACGCAATTGCTGAGGAACCGCCAACCACATCTCAGTGTGTCTGGACGGGCTCGCTTGCAAACTGTATCCGCAATCGCTCCGCAAATGCAGCTCAACAGCCAGTGTGAATGCACCATACGACCTGCCCTCTCGTCAAAATACTGCAACTGGGGCTGTACCAAAAGAGCCGGGAAAGGTGCGACGATCAGTTTTCGTGCGTTTTCTGCCCGCTCGGTTCGTCCAAAAACGTGGATAGGTGCCATGAAAAGGAAAACCAGACACCATCGGATCACGATTGTTTGTGTGGGATGTACTTTAGGTTGAATTCACGGATTGTTGTGGTCGTCAGATTTATTTGTTTTGTTACAACATCAACGCGGAAAAACCGTCAAGTTGTCCAGTCCACCCGCGGACCACGATCAGTGCGTCTTCACGTTCAAATGGCCATCTGATCGTTCAAACTGTCGTCTGCTTGTTCAAACAACAGCGGGCAGTAGACCAGACGTTGCGATAAGAAGTGCAGGCCTCAAAAGACTTTTAAGTTTGAAGGTTGTTTAGGGTAAGTAGACTATGTGTAAGCAGTAGATACAAGGAGATGTTGATCATTATTACCAGTGGCCATCACCGACTTGTTATGCCAAAATCACTTGGTCCGATTCTGCTTGCACTTTGCAGTATTGACGTTGAACATCGCAGCTACCGTCCACGCTTTTCTAGCCCGAGCGACGTCGCAACTGAAAATAGTGAGCAGAATCTCGTCATGTAAATCGGGCTTTATAGCGTCCATTCTGCGGCGTTCACGTGAAATGAATCGCCGCACGCCACATTTATACAAAGTTTTGCGGTATAATGAGCCTCGCTAATTTCGCCCTGGCCACTAAAGTAGTCCAACATTGCTAGGAAGGCATAGAATCAACAATTCCAAAGCAAAAAAGAGCCGGGGGACTCGCACCAATGCCGTCACATTCCAATGGTTTGTTAATGCGGAATGCTTCTTGCCCACATCCCATGTCGCTAGGGGTTCTCCGGTTTGTTTGTAAACATGGTGTGTAGAAAGTTTCAGAATCTGAAGCCCATGTACTTTCATTGCAGGTTCATTGTGAGAAAATTTTTGATAGATCACCTTCGGAAGAGGGGAATTCCCGTAAGTAGCAGTAAACCTCCTCTCGTTTGTGCGAAAGCTTATTTTGAGCCAATGCGCATATTATTTAGCAAGAGCAGAGTTTTTGCTTTTCCTGAGCACTTTCTACCGAGTAGTACTCATCCTCAACTTTCTTGGACATCAACGCCTCAGCGCAGCATGCACTAAAATGAGAATTTCGAATGAGCAACAACACCCATCGCAACGTTCTCCGGGAATATTTTAGATGACATTCATAAAATATCAACAAGCAGTAACTAAACTTTTGAACGCGTATAGTTTTTATTCCATGGCTCTACAAATTTTGTTGCATTGAACCCTATGGGCTACATTCGTGCTTTTCCTTGACAAAATATATTTCCGAGAACTGTAATTGCTTGGGTAGCATAAAACGCAAATCAATTAGAATTTTGATATTTCCGAACACTTCATCCAAGTGTCCCCGAAAGTTGACCATGACTGACTACCTTCTGGTGTGAAGCGTCTACTGAGTACAGTACCATGGCGGCAGGTTTGAAACTTTGACTGAACTGCATTCCTCAGTGGTTCATGTCCTTAGAATGGGTGGTTGCATTCGGATCAAACATTTCCAACCCACCCGAGCAAAAGATAAACAAAGTGTTCTAATGCCTAAAAAAATGTAGGATTTTAAGAAAGGTTTTATCGCTACGATGGCTCGATTTAGTTTTTAGTCATTTCTTTAAATGTAATCTCCGTTTTATAAACAAAAACAAAAAAATTACGAGGACATCTAAGCATTTACAAGTTGTGAATGCAAAAGCATGAATGTCATTCTCCCGCTTCTTTAGTTTGTCTGCGGTGTACTGGCGTGGAAGGCCACGTTCGGCTACTGCCAAGGTTGCGGTCGCTAACGATGTAGATGCCTCAGGCAGTGCCATGTTCCTCGGTGCCGAGAGGAGCAAGGCCGACCTGCTAGAAAGAGCGTGTCAGCTGAGACTCGGGGAAAGAAAGCACTGCCAAAGCCAGCGCACGAACTGAGCGGGACTCTTGCCATGTCTCAAGACGCTCGCACGCCCCAGCCTTTGCAGTGCTTTCTTTCACTGAGTCTCAGCCGAGACGCTGTTCTAGCAAGCCAACCCAGAAACGGCCAAAAGCCCCCCCCTCCAGCAACATCCGACACGAGAGCGGTGGCCGAGCGTGCGCTCTCCTGAAGCTGCCGCCAATGGCTATTAGGGAATCGTTTTGCTCAGCCAATGGGAGAAGGGGTATTTCTTTCGCATTTTTTTGCGGTTCCAGACGCCGCCAGCTCCGCTCCGTGGGATAGCTAATGCTTTTGCATTAAGGGGGGACACTACCTGAGAATGTCAACTTTTGAACCGCTCACTCAATCGGCGTGAAATTTGCAGGTGGTGTTTGTAGTCATATGGGAGGGAGGGAATGCCAAATTTCAGCTCTGTGAACCAATTTTATGAGGTTCTAGTCCCGCAGAACATGGAATATGCTCAAAAAATCTATCATTGAGAAATGGTGTTCGTAACCACATAATTTTCTGGGGGAATGCATACTGGAATACTTGTTGCCGGTTACTATGAAAACAAATTTCAGAAAGTATGCATTTCTTAAGTAAAAACAATTATGAATTTATTTTTTTTTTTACATTTACTAGGCAAGTTTTGCAAATTAAAATTTTTCATAATAAAGGAACATGAAAATGCAATATCTAGGTTCATAAAAACCAGCTCCATACAATTTTGGCATATAAGCCGCAAATATTAATTCTTGATCTTTTCATACTGAAACTATACATAGTTTTATTAAGGTAGGATTTGCTGCCAAAAAGATGAGCTGAGAAAAGCGCGTTCAAAGTGCTCAAACCTCTATCTTTTCTTTAGCATCAGTAGGCCGAAAATAATATATAAAAAATAACTATGCTCTGTAAACAAATTAAACTTTCTGTGAATACTCTCTAGACATTGGTGGATGTAAATATTGAACTTTTTAAAATCAAAATTTTTTTTTTTTGCAGAAATTGTTTTTTTTGGATAGTGTCCCCCCTTAATAATGGGTAATTGGGGGAAATAGTTTGGAATTATTCACAATGTGAATACTGGATCAAGCAAGTAGCATTTCCTGTATGCTGGGAAAGTCTACTTGAAGGAGTCACTTTTTATGGAGCTTAGCATCAAGTTTACCAATCACATTCAGCTTAATATGTTGTTGTTTGAAGACAACAGAACTCGTCATTCTTCTCTTTCAAGAAGTCTCTCTAAATAAACTATTAAAATGGCCACGGAAAGCTGTAGCATATGTCACCACCGTATCACTGACGATTAAGAGGCGGTCGGCAGGATCGTGTGCAGAGCAACAAGAAGATAGTTTAATGGACGTCGGCAGTATTTATCAGATAGTGCCTGGCGCACTGCGCATGACTAGTGCCTTGTCATGCGAGGCGTTGTACATAAGCCCGATACAAGCACCAGAGGTGCGCTACAGTGCATTGTTTTGCCCGCAGACTTACCTGTGGGTGCTGAACGAAAAAGAGGACTTCCAGCGGGCCTTCAGTCTCGGTGCGTGCGGCGTCATGACCGACCGCCCTACGCTCCTGACAGAGTTTCTGCAGGAGAACCCCGACGTGGGAACATGGCCAAATGAAACTGACGCCTCCAACCAAGAAAGAAGATAATCTTGGACATGCCTTCTTGGTACGGCACAAAAAAAGAAGTGCACGGAAAGCACAAAAGGGTTTTGATTGGAAGAAAGCAAAAAGATTTTCATACTCTAGAGGAGCAGTGCAAGACCCACTTACCGAGCTCACATTTACTTTTCTTGAGATGATTCGTTTATATCCTTTTCTGTCGAACGGCAGAAATCCTCAAATTTTTATTTATGGTGTGCCTCATGAAATGCTTGGCTCATTAATTTTTTTTGTGCACATTGTCACATATTTCTCATTTGCAGTCAAGAAGAGCTTTTCTTTGCAGCTTGTGCGAGTCTCTTGGCAAAGTTGTTACATGTATTTGTGTTTGTGACCTGGACCACACGTGGGACCGTCAGTTGTGCCAATCTTTCGCAATAACAATCCTGGCTCACAGAACAACCTATGTATGAAATTGGAAAATCTTTAATGCATCGTATCGTGTTAATATCAAATTTACAGATATCGTGGTCAATGGCACCGCTCACAAAAAGGAAGTGCAATCAAGAGCATCTACAATGTACACATTATATACACGGCAACAGAGTTCTGGGTAAAACTTCCTCAAACGTCCGAACAAATCTTTTTTTTTTTTAGTGGTAGCATCGTGTTGTTTTCAATGCCAAAATATGCAAAGCATAAAAAGTGTCCTCAAAATAATAGTAATAAAAAAAATGTTTGTCGTTAGATGGCTGTCCCAACTGGCTGGTCTTTGACAACGAACGCTGCTTCCTCTGTCGAGAGAGAATGGTGGCAACAATAACACGGTCCATTAACTCGGCAATCCATCAGTCACGCAAGATCCCCCAAATGACTTTGCTTTCGTTCGTTCGCAACAACAGTCACCGAAGCTTTTCAGATAAAATCCTAGTGCATCAGCAGTCCGGCGCCTGGAGTCCCTCGTCCGTCGACTTGGGTTTCCTCCGCACGGTCGACACCGCGTCCCTGTTCTGCGACGAGCCGTCGTCGCTGCTCTCGCTGCCCCCCGGCTTGCGCTCGTCCTTCTCCACCGCAGGCTCCTTCGGCACGAACGCCCCGTCGCCGTTCACGGCCCTCACTCTCTGCAGCCTGTGCGGCTTGGCCGCGATCTTGGGCGGCGGGGGGGGGCGGCTTGTTCCTCCGCGTCACCGGGGGCGGGGGGCTGGGCCCGGCCTCCGCACTCTCCTCCCTGCGTTCGGCCAGCAGCTTTCCTCCGTCGTCCGCCAGGATCTTGGACAGCGACGGCGCGAGTCCCAGCCCCACATTCCGGTCGTGGTAGACGTCCGAGATGGTGGGCGGGGGCACCCGCGCAAAGTGATGCATCTGGTGCGACAGGATGTGATCGCGGATAGAACGGTCGCGCTGCGCCGTGGCGTCGCCTCCCGCGCACGTTGCGGAGTCCAGCAGGGCGCTTGTGCCGAAGTCAAGGCCTCTGCCGTCTCCCGGCACCTGGCGGGGTCGCCGCCCCTTGCCGCCCAGGCTCGTGCGCGGAGCCGTGGGCGGCGGAGGCGGCGGCCGCGAGATGCCCGCCCCGAAGCGCGGCCGGTCGAGCGAGAAGTCGTTGCGGTCCGAGTCGCTGCTTTGCGACTCGAATCCCGAGACCGCTGCCTTCCTGCACGGTCTGGAAACTTGGTCGCCCTCGCTGGACGTCGCGCCACGGTTATCGCTGACAACGAGGCGCCGCACCGTCATCTGGCCCTCCCAGTCGGAACCAGCGGACAGCGAGCTGTCGGGCCGCTTGGCCGGCGTCTCGGCGCTCGCGTTGTACAGCGACGAGCCGCTCTTGCCGCCCGAGTGGAGGAGGGTCGCGGCGGGCAAGATGCTCGCGTTGGCATAGGCGACGGGGTTGACGGGGCTCGGGGTGAAGGCGTCGCTGTCGCGGCCCTTGAGGTCGGACGTGGGGGCGGTCCGGCCGTCCGGCTCCCCCCTGGCGCGCACATAGTTGGTGAAGGCGCCCGTGCCCTGGCTCAGGACGGGGCGCGTGCTCGGGGGCCCCGTGGAGAAGCCCAGGGCGGGGGGAGGGGAGGGGTCCGTGCACACCTCGCTCTCCAGGCTGTCCAGGTCGCTCGAGTCTTCCAGGTTCAGGTTCTTGGGCGCCTCCTGCGTGTCTGTGGCCCCAGAGGTTCTTGGTTTCTCAACTCTCCCGTGCAACTTGATTGCGAATATTGACCCCATGTGATTATGACCGTGGCACTGCTCGTGACACTGTGGCATTTCACGCGAGCTCGTGCACTCCCATTTGTGTAACGCATCAGAAACTGAATATAGTGAAGGACACTAGAGAAGCTCATTTGCCCCTTTTTTCAACAAGCACAATAGGAAATGGGCGACCCAACTGTGTCGCAGCGGTCGCCTATTGTTTGCCGCTACCTAGCAACAGCTGGCGCAGAATCATCGGGAAGCAATGGCGACCAACGACACAGCGGACAGTGGCCTCGTCAAGATTTAAGGCGGTTACATATCCAGAGAGCTTCTTCCGTGGTGCCAAGATGACGAAGAAAACCCCTTCACGAATCTGGCCACGTGTGTAATGGGAAGGAGGGCGCTGTACTCGGAAGACGAAATTGAGCGCACCTACAAAAAACGTCGAACTTTGCGTAAGTACATAGGAGACCTTTCTTAGGTTCCGTTGAGTGGACTGCTCTAATGATACATGTTTATTGGTTTCTGAATCAGCTTGACAACAACTAGGTGACTGTTTTCGAGCCATTCTGCGATTCCCAACATTACTTTCTTCCTGTAGGCTCTGCCTGTAGGCTGATGGAAAGATTGATGGGATGTAGCTTGGGTGGGAGACTTTGTCCCGCTTCTCGTTCCTAGTGAAATGTTTGCATAGAAAAAGTTAATTGTATTCGTCAGCAGCTTAAAGGGGCCCTGCAAGGAATCACCGAACCTGAGCGCACTGAACGTCGTAACTTCATGAAACTTTTCTCAAATTTCGCTTTATTTTAAAAGTTATGGGCAAATTAGAATTACAAAAACAAGCAAACAATAACCTCCTTCATGACGTCGTAGGTCCTGGCCTGAGTGGCCGTGAACTAGAGGAGGAGTAGTGAGCTCATCGAGCGCTCACGGCTGCCGCACTCCATGTCGACGGCTCGAAAGGGCGCCACTAAAGCACGTGTTAGATAGGCTGTATGAAGCGGGCGGCCAGGGCGGCTCGCATTGCTTTTGCTGCACGATTAAAGACTAATTCGGTATAACACTTCATTGGCCACAAACGACACCAAATACGGGGTAAAGATCAGTTCAGAACGGGAGCCACTTCGCGCTGCCATACCGCCAAATGGCCAAATCGCCAGCCAAGCCCGCGCCGAAAGCCTTCGGAACGCTCGGAACCAGTCGGATCCTCGAGCCGGTATACTATAACCGCAGCGCTGCCGCGTACATCCGGGACCTTTCTACGCCGTTCGTTGGCGTCTCATCCCACTAGCCCTTTCTAGTATGCGCCGTTTTTTCCGACGCTTTGTGGCGAGTTTGTCGACGGGTCTTTTCTTGTTTCTGTACTTTATAAACTGCATTTGTTTCTTTTCTGTTCTAAAGTACTGAACAAAAACTACTTTCATACATAATTGAAACGGTTCACGACACTTATATTTTGTATCTTGACTAAAAAAAAAGATTTTAGCGGCTCTGATCAGTAGTAAGCCCAGGACCAAAGACGTCACATATCGCGCGCTTTCGGCAACGCGGGTCGCCCTCGTCGATGGAGGAGGTTTCCACGTTGTCCGGTTAAAATATGATGCACCGATATTTAGTTACTCTCTCCGTGCCCCCTGGCTTGCCCGAACCCCAAGAGACGTGGAAACCGCAAAAAAGATAGACGCTTAGATATGATTGCAGGGCCCCTTTAAAGTGAAACGCGAACTGATCGAGAAAGGCCACTTACTTGCATCGACACACAAGTCGCCCTACATTGCATGGCGCTCCGCCTCACACGGCTTCGAAGGAAAGCCATAAAACTGTGTGCCGTGTGCGTTCTTTTACATACTGTTGCAGCCTACAGCGCTAACCCACAACTACGCAGAATCAAGCCAGCGACTGCAGAAGCCTCCCAATGAAACCGACCCGTTTGCCGCTAGGGGTGCCCTGATCGAGGGTTGAATTGCGCTCGCCTGGTTCCTATAGAGCATAATATAAATTGGCCACAATGTACATCTTTTTGAAGCTGCAAAGATGCTACCAGCTTCTTTTATATATCTATCCATACGTTTTCAAGTCGTTTTCAATGTTTTATATTCGAATAGATAAGTTCCCGATATTTCTCTCGAGCTTGACAAGGGCCGATAAAAAATTGATTTTTAAGCGCGATATCGTGGTATATAATGACCAATATTTCTGGTTGTTGATCATTGTTCTCGTAGAAGCTTTCTTTCCCAACTAAATCAGGGGCTCAAACTTTGGCTTACCAAACACTGCCAGCAGTGCCTGCAGGGCAAACTGGATCGAGCGACGGTTTGCCTGCTTGCCCATCCGAAGGGTCACCTCGTCCCTGCCCACTTCCATCAGGTCGAAACCTGCAACGGAGTAAAACAATCTGTTTATTTATTTACTCATTATAATCCCTGCTTTTCCTCAAGAGGGGCAGAGACACAAAATGATGAGCTACAAAAAGAAAATACTCGCACGTGGGTAATACGCAACAGTATAGTAATGAGAAAGCTGAACGTTCTAGAAAATACAAACTTTACAATGGACATGTAGGTGTTATATAGGTGGTTATGTAGATGTTGTAGTTGCTGAAAATTCTATGTAGTTGGTTGCTCTCTCTCCTTCTCCTGCTCTCGTTTCGGCCACAACCTTTAGTTGCATGCCTCTTTCTCATGAGCTGCACCAGAGATGAGGCACTGGTCCACCGCATTAGCGTGACAGTACTCCGAGAGATGCCCCATCCTGAAAAGATGCCCACCCTGGTTTCCAGCCAAATTTTCGGTTGGTGCAAGAACACCAAAAGATGGCTCATTCCTAGAAATTGCGCCGTTCGGGTAGCCTCGGCAGAAAATAGGAGAGCTTTTTTCACCTCGGTCATCTCAATATATTTGCCCCGTCTGTCGGGGCCTTCATTGCTGTCATTTGGAATCTCCCCAAGAAAACTTTTGGACGACCAAAATCACTTTGGTGCCAGGCTTATCGGCAGGAAGCTCCCACATCCAAAGAACACGAAAAGAATGGCGGACATGCTGCAACCGCCTGTTGTACCCGCAACGTCTAGCTATGGCCTCGATGCAGGTTCCCTATTGCATGGGCTGTGGAGTGTGTTATCGAGAATGCAACAGAAAGGAAAAATGGCGGCGATTTTAACGGCTGCAGTCGTGCGAGTGAATGGTGCAAATTTAAAAATCAAGCAGAGTCGACTGGCGCCTAAAATTTTAGTCGCCGCATTAACTCTGTGCGGCAGGTGACGGAGATGTCCAAAAAGTCAGCTGGGAACTATAAACGCATTCCAACAGAAGAAAGTGACCTTCGCATTTCTTAAAAGACTGCATTCCAGGCCTGGCTACACTTTTTTTTACAGATTCAGATATCCCTCGTTATAACGAATTCATTTTTTTTTTTAATTACCGCCTTTATTGAAGTTTAACGGGGTCCCGACCAAAATGCATGCATTTTGAACCGTATTATTCGAAGTGTATCAGCGGCCGACCAAGCTTATTACAAAGGCCGAAGCACTGACAGCACGGAAGCTTACAGGGAGCTGCGTGGAGACCTTTGCATTCCCTCCCCCTTCACCGATGTAAACCGCAAACAAGTAAACGGAACAAACAGGTGACGGAGGGCAGAGGCCGATGTGACAATGCGGGCAGGTAGCGGCAGGAGCAGCGTCCACGTTTCGACGCTAATCACGGCGCCCGCGGCTGACGCTGCGCGTTTAAAATTAGATCTAAAAATATACATCCCATTTTTCACGAAGCAAAGGGCTTAGTGACTTTTACTAGGACTTTTTAATCCGAAATCACTCATTATCTCGAAATCTTTGGAACTGAGCAGAGTTACCCTTTAAGCTATCGCTTTAATAGGCAACTTCGCTCTCCGAGTCGCTCCGCGAGCACAAAGTCATGGAATCTGCCGCCTCGTGAAATCACAGGGCGCCACACAGTGTATATGAATGGGACATGCAGCTCACCCAAGGATGCGAGCAATTCGTGGCAGCCAGGAACACTCCAAAGCTTGACACTGACGTGGCATTCCACATTGTCCTGCTGCGTTTTTCCAAGCTGTCCCACCACCTGATGCATCTAAAAACAAACGTGCCATTGCTTGTGAGCCAAAAATGTATTCCTCCCCCGGCGAGAGTGCAATTGCCGAGCATTCACAAATTCCATACCAGTTCTATGATGTCGTCTGCATACTCCGGTCTTGAAAGCAGTTTCGATATGGCACTCAGCGAGATGACGGACAGGCCTTCGAGAGGAGCACAAAAAAGACCACGTTCAAGGTTTGTAGCAGCCGTCAAGTACACTTGGTATTAGAAATAAATGAACTGCGTAAAGGACGAGGACAGAGGACAACCTGAGGGCACGAGAACACTTTCTGTCGATAAAAAACAACACAGGCGGACATCTGTCTGTACATTGTTTGAAATGCGGTTGTCATCCTGATTTGGAAAGGACACGTGTTCTCGCAAGAGCAAATGAGGCAACGGAAAGAAAACTGGTAGAAGCCCACTTCATTAAAAAGAAAGGTCACGACTGCATAAGCATGCAATCTGTTTCACTATCAGACAAGGAATTCTCTTTTTTGGACGGTCATGTTTAAACCTTATTTAACCGCAAACTGATTGCTGCTGTCATATATACTGTTGTGTCTGCGCCAAATAAACAGTTGGAAGTCTGCGCTCCGTGTGTCATACTCGTCTCTACCTCTGTCCTCGTCCTTTACGCAGTTCATTTATTTCTAAAATCATGAACCAACTAGCCCGCCAAAAGGTGTTACACTTGGTACACAAAGGGGTCAGAAGTTTGGATATCGTTCAGGTGCCTCAAACGGACGCCTAAACCATTCTATGGGTAGACAAACAATTCGTAAAGCACCGTAGATTGCAGTGATAGGTCCAAGAACCGAGGAAGAGAGATACTGCCAGGAAGGTAGCCTCTCTCCTTTGCCTCCAACTTCCTTTTTTTCCTCTCCACCCTCGCTGGTCAAGAATTTTCGCGTGACAAAGTGCTAGCTGCACATATGCATTCTGTAAATGTCCACTCACCACTTTTAGCACCTTTTTTTTATTGCCCGAAACCAAATGTTTCGGCACCTAAACACCCAATGTTGTCGGCTATGCCGCTTCATTTTAACTGCCAAGCCATACTAGCCGATTTAGTGCAACGTGTCAACAAATAGGGCAGGGTCGGCTCTTGAGCAATCATTGTGCTAGTTACGCTTGGTGAGGGAACAATGCCTGAAATGTGTCTTTGACTGGTGTGCTTGGCGTCCTATACCGCCCGGGTATCAGAAGTAGTCCCGGCAAATTGCGTCGGAGGAGCTGGAGTGTCGTGCTGCCGGATGCCGCGATTTTGGCAGTTGGTTGTAGAAGTGCCAACAGAAAGCAGGAGCGAATGCGACTATTGCTGCAGCATCTCAGCTCCTGGCTGCTGAAGAGTTTCCAAACTGTCAAGCTGGACCCGCAGCTAAAGCTGCCACGCAGCAGAGGCAGGTTGCAACCTGCCTCTGCTGCACTGCACGAGGGCAGCGAAGCAGATGTTGCTTGCACTATTTCTCCAAACGGTGCGGTGCCGTCGATGCCGAGAAGCGCTGCAATTGCAAACCGAAACTAAAGAACCCGTCAAAGTAGTGTTGTTTTTCAGAAAGCTGTAAAACGCAGCGCGTGCCTTCTGTCGCACTCCAATTTTTTTATTTAGTGTTTTCCGATGATGCTCGGCAAATTTCCGAATGAAACCGTGCCCTTAAACTCAATATTTAAAAAATTAATTACGCAAAAATAATTAACTTAATTAACCCAAACTTTAATCATTTTCCTAAATAGGCCCCTAGCCTAGGACCAAATTGACACAAGCCTTTTTTTTTGTGCATTGCGTAGTTTTCGCAATATCGAATTTTTGTCCACCTTTCGTGAAACACCCTGTATACCCGATAACATTGATGGTCTCAAATATATCTACAAACCCCCATGCAAAAAGAAAAAGAATTGAGCTTCGATAGTTGGAAAAAAAAAAAAAACAGCAAATGACAACCAGTTATAAATACCGACTGGCAACCGACCTTTTATCCAAAAGACCGGCCATGCCAGCCGTGAATTGGGCAGGTGGCTACCCTACCCTTAACAGAACGGGCGTTTGAGGACTGCCACCGTGCCGGCGCCAGCATTGGGCAAGCACGACACAAGGCCGTCGGTCGGAAATCGAGGGAAACGACGGCAAACACACCAGTGAGAAACACCTTCAAAGAGTGGGTAGGCGAGCTGGTCAGTGATCATAAAACTCAGCTGCAAAATTAATTTTCACGCATTTCCTTTATATAGGCTACAAGTCAAAGAACGCTAACGCCAACGTCAACCCCACACAGTCAAGTGGACAAGGTACGAGCGGTCACAGAAAAACCCTCTCTCTTTGTTTCGAAGCATCCTACTGCCCTTGAAAACCTATACAGAAAGAAAAGACCGCATATCTCTGCGTCCAACACAATTGAGGGCATATTTATACAGTTCCCAGCACCTGTTATACAAATAGATTTTTTTATCACTCTTTTGACCGGATTTATTTCTCTTTTTTGGCAAGTACTATTTTTTTTGTATACTCCAGAAAGAAATTGGTACATTCGTCAAGGTGTTTCACAATTTCAGATTTGCAGATTTTAACCAAATTTAACGCTGATCTTAACGCCGATTTGCCGGTTTTAACGCCACCGCCCTTTTATGGTACACGGTTGTTCACGTACCGAACAAGTTCGGCTGACACATATGAACTCGCAGGATGTCGTAGACCACTGCTTCTTCACAATGGGTTGCTGGTTCTTTGCATCTTTTACGACACCCTCGCTGACCACCCGAAAAAGGAGTTAAAGTACTCAGTTTACAGTCATTGTTAAACACAACGTTTGTGCCATACGTTCCCGCCAAAGCCTTCAAATTATGCGAAAATGCATAATCATATGGCAAACAGACCCAGTTGTCACGGGCTCCATTTCCTAAGCTTCACATAATAGCCTTTGCAACACTCTCCATAACGTTCGTACAGTATATTGATTCGACATTTGAGACCCCTTCCTGCAAATGGTGGCAAGATGATCCCCTTTGGGTGAGAACAGTAGCCGGGGCGGCTGCACTCACCGAGCAACGCCTGAAGGCTGGTGCTGCACTGGACGAGCCTCTCGCCAGGGTCTGTTTGTGGGAAGAAGACGGATGCAGGGAGTCCGTTTGCCGCCGGCTCGAAGCGGAACCCCACGGCAATGAGCAGCTCCTTCCAGCCCGAGACGGGCCCCACTTTGCTCTCAATGGACTTCTGCGTGGTGTACATGGCGTTCTTCTGGCCCCTGTGGATGCGCTGCAGCGACTTCTCCACCTGCGGGCAACAGTGCCAAGCACTCGATCCGCTGCACTGGTTCGGCATCTGCCTGCTCGTCACGCTGCTCCACATTCCCCACAGTATGCCCAAACAAAATTATAATTCCTTCGGGAAATATTCAAACCAACCAACGGCATAAAAAAAAATGTCAGAAAAAGTGTTTTAAAATACTGTAAAACCCTTTATTTTTCGCGGCCCCTATTTTTCGTGAATTGGTCACGGAGGACATGGTCGCGGCCATTAAATTTTGCGAATTTCAGATTCCTGCATTGAAACTCTCAAAAACCGAAATTTTCACATGCCCTTAAATTTTGCAAATTTTTCAATTTGCGAAAATTAAGGACTCGCGGACATTAAGGGTTGTACAGTAACTTTTTAAGTTGGTCAGCTGCCAAGTCAATATGAAAAACATTGCATTATGGCTCTTTTTCTGAGATATATCTCGAAAACAGGTGTTTCACAATGTTTGGTCATGTTTTCAGTAAGGAAAAAGGCCTTGCATGATTATATTTTTTTCTAGGATGCTTAGGGCAGGAAGGTAGTAAAAAAATGCTAAAAAGCGTGTCTCAGATGGAGGGAGTGGTCGTACCAGGTGTAGCACCACCCGCAAGGCGTCCCTACACTTGTCGGGCACCTTGAGCAGCTCCACCAGGGCCTGCCCCATGAGCACCACCTGGTTCGAGAGGTGCACGTCGCTGCCCAGCAGCACGAAGCTGGCCCAGTTGGCCGGGTGGCCAAAGTGCTTCGTCGTCTGGATGGTGCACATGGCCTCGCTCAGGGCCGCACTTGCCCGCGAGCCCTGCATAGGGGGGACGCTCACATTACGTGTCCATGCTTCCTTCACCGCTCGTGGGGACGGGATCGTTGAGGCAGTCAATCTTACGCAATGGGAGGGAAGGGCTATGAAAAGAACTGATTGGTCTGGTGATGATTGCTGCCCTGTCAGCTTGGCGGTGAAATCAAGCACATGCACGGAATCAGGTGAAAACCAAATCAGGTGAAAATAACTAGTAGGCCAGCTTTTTGTGCGCAATAAAAATTTTTTTTAAAAATGTGCTTTACATTTTGTTATTTGTGAAACTTGCGATCGCTGGGAGGGCGATGAACCAGACTGTCCTCCCCAGTCACCAATGTTCGCTTATCTCTCGCCGTGGCTAAGTAACTCCATTCCTGCCAAGGTCAGGGCCCTACAATTACTACAAGTTTTTGAAACAAAAGCAAATCGTGTCAAAAATAGTGAGTGGGTTATCTCGCGGGAGGGTATACGTGCGAGCAGGAGGCGACAAAGCTGCCGAGTTGCCCACCTGCATGAGGGAAGAGTAGAAGGTCCGTAGCAGAATCTTGAGGGCGGTGTCGGGCACGGGCCAGAGCGAGAGCAGCACGCAACGGGCACCTGCCCTGAGGAAGGCCCCCGCCAGGGCCTCCAGGGACCGAGAGTCCACTTTGCCGTGGCACGAGCGCGTGTGGCACGTGCTCAGCACCACCAGACGCGCCCCCAGACGCAGCGCGCAGAGGTCCGCCGCCGTCAGCATGGTCGACTCTAAGGCGGGCCTTGCTCCGTCCTCCCCACCTCCGCCGTCGGCGGAAGCGGCGGCCGGCTCCTCGTCTTCGACAAACTCCGCTCCCGAGGACAGCACGACGCCGGGGACCTTCGGTGAGACGCAAGGGCAGTGGTTCAGTTATTGTTCATCGAGCGTGCGAGTACCAATGAATAATGCCAGTTTTCATTTGTTCGCTCTGGCAAATCTGGTCTTAGACTATGCTTCTTCGTCACTAAGCTGCCACTCCATGGCACTTGGGAAGGGCTCAAAAAAGAATGTTCCAACGCCACCCTTTTGAGTGCAAGTCTATTGTCTAGTTATGCTGGACTTGTACTCCACAGACTGACCAATTTATTATCTGAATGTCGAGCACTGTCAGTTCATTAAAGGGATACTGAACCGAAATTTCCAGCTCACAAAACAAGGTTGGATGGATAGGCAGGACGCTGCAAAACCCCAAAACATCCCTCATACAGCGATATCTCTGACGGATTGCCGTATTTTCGGAAAAAGAAGTGCGCAATTGAACACGGCCAACGAGACAAGTCGCGTCACGATTCTCATTCCCACTTCTCGCTACGTCCCGTCAAGCTGGTGAACCGAAGCGAGGAGGAGAGAAGCGAGGCCGCTTCCCCTCATTCTAAGACCTCGCTTGATTGCGCTCTTCTTTTCCAAAAGTACGGCCATTCGTTTGATATATCGATGTGTGATTGATGTTTTCGAGTTCGTAGCATCTCGTTCAACGCTTCTGCGGTTTTATTTTGCAAAATTCAAATTTCGGTTTGGTATCCCGTGAGCTCCGTGCCTTGAAGGGGCAGTGCAAGGATTTGAATGTTGAAAGAATTGGCAGTTTGCACTTTTTATATTGTTTCTGCAAGCCCAAGTGACCAAAAACGCATCACCTTTCCCTGAAAAACTGCTACCGTATTTACTCGCAGAATGAACACACTGTTTTTTCCGAAAAATCAATGCAAAGTTGGGGGGGGGAGGGCATTCATTAGGCGAAGTAAAATTTTTGCGTCCGTATTTACTCGCATAATGAACAGACCTTTTATCCTGAAAAATCAACATAACTTCTTATCTCTCTGTGTGTGCAGTGCGCAACCCCCTAACCAAACTGGGCTGTGCAAAGAAAAAAGAAAAAAAAAGCTTCTCTTTGTTTTGTTTTTTTTTTCTCTTAGTTCGGTGTTTTTTTTTATTTTTTTTGCCTCCTTTAGCAAGTTCTTTCTTTTGCTTAGGCGTTGCTTAGGCGAGGGCTTATCTTTCTTACCTCCTTGCGCGCGGCGCGCGACCCCGTCACCAAACTGCGCTGTGCAAAAAAAAGACAAAAAAAAAGCTCCTCTGTTGTTTTTTTTTTCTCTTAGTTCGGTGGGTTGTTTGTTTTTCTGTTGTTTTTCTTGCCGCCTTTCGCAAGTTGTTTTGTTTGCTTAGGCGAGGGCTTCTCCGCTTATATTTCTTATCTCCTTCTCTCTTCTCCGCGGCGCGCGACCCCAAAGCCCAGACTGCCCTGTGCAGCAAAAAGAAAGCTCCTCTCTGTTTTTTGTTTTTTTCTTGCTTCCGTTGGATTTTTTATTTTCTTAACGCCTTTTGCAAGGCGTTTTGTTCGCCCACGCTGCCCATGCATTCGCGACCTCGCTGCACCAGGATAGAAAAGTGTGTTCATTTCGCGTGCGTGGGGGGAGGGAGTCAAAAGTTTGACGTCCCAGTTGGGGGTGCGTTTAATACGAGTGAAAAAAAAGTCGAAATTTTGAGAGCCAACTTGGTGGGTACGTTCATTACGCGAGTGCGTCCATTGTGCGAGTAAATACGGTATTCTGCTGCGTAATCACAAAGCAAAAGACAAATTATTTTCCGATCTGCAGCCACCTGTGGTGGTTACGGGAAAGAAAATGAGAGCGTCTCTGGGGGATATGCGGAAGTCAACAAAACCTGTCCCCCTCCACTGCTACACTCGCCATCAGCCCCATGGCGAACTGTCCTTTGTGTCGATCGCTCGATTGAAAACCTTAATGGTTGCATTAAAACTTGGGTTTGGGCTAGTTGGTCCATTACGGAATAAAAGGTTAAAAAGCACGAACAAACGAGGACAATAAAGAAAAGCACCTGTCCTGTCGTCCGTGTTTCTTTATTGTCCTCGTTTGTTCGCACTTTTTAACCTTTTATTCCTTAATGGTTGGTTTGCACCTTTGGGCCGGGCATGCTGCGTCGCATTTCACTGTGCAGCACAGCACACTCAGCACGAATATGTCGGCCAGCTTTGACTCTCTAGGGCCACATTTTGTCCTTCTTGTCTTGTTTGTTCGTCCGCATCTGGAACGTTAAATTGTTGCGTTTGTTTGTCCTATTAGTTCACTCATGGAGAGTTGGCTTGCAGGTGCTTCAGCGTACGGGTTTCATGACCTTTCTGCCAGCCACACACACTTCCCGTGCTCCACTTTCTTGCGCAAATAAAGATGGATTGATTGATTGATCAAAAGAAGTGACGAAGAGCGATGCTGGGGAAGAGGGAATTGGTGATTGCGTTGGCACATACTTTTGCATCGGGCCAAGTCAAGTGCCTTGGCAATCAGGCTCTCATGCAACTTTCTTGCTTGGTGCATACATGTGTACGTCCGTGTGCAGTGTGCTATCAATGCTGGTAGAGGTGGCATTGCTGTGTGGCATGGACACACCCCGAACACGGAGCTCGAAATGGGACGCTCTACAAAGTCTGTGTAAGGCGTTCCATCGAGTCTTTATTTACTTGTTGGCTTTGTCATAAACGTTGCACAACCACGGTCACGCCGTTTCGGGAGAAGGAGCGGGTTCGCGGTAACCTTATTTCGATGGAGGCAGACTTTGACCTTACACTCCCAGGTCACATTCCAGGATACGGGGCGTTCGCTGACCTCGCAATCCCTCGATAGGTTACTGCTTGTGTTTTTGATAATCCGTACCTAGCACATTCCTCCGGAAGCAGCCAGGGCAGGCAGGAAAAACATCACGAGTCGGGGGCGTGTCACGCACTGCCTGGTTGAGGCAGTGCACGCCTTCTGTTATTTCTGGCACTGGCGCCTTCCTTGCGTACAGTTCATACTATCACAGCGTTATCTTCACGATTTTTTTTTTGTCTTAACGAGTTTTGTTGTTAAGTACCTAAAGCAAAGTTTCATTCTGTTATCTCTATCGTGCTCCTTTCGCACAAATGTACCCCCCTTTGGGGTCACGGAAATCGGAAAGGAAATCCGTAAACAATGTGAGGTGTCCTCCAATTGTAAGGTCTGTGGCCGCGTCATTCGGGTAGGATGAATGTTCGCGGATCGCGGAATCTGCATTGGGGTATCTGCAGGGGTGGGCAATCGCCCTGCATTTTTTTGGAAATAGATATTCGCCCAAAAAGTGGGGTGGACAATGACTCGGAATATTAAAGCAGCTATAAAGAAACTGTGGGGATATTCGGCATAAAGTATTTGATGTTGCTGATGGAACTGTTTTTTCGGAGCCCAACAGCACATTTGCTAGGCACAGCAGAAATATTGGCTTAGCCTCCTAATTGCTTAGCTTGGCTTAGCCCCCTCCTTATTAAAATTGGCTTAGCTTCCTCGATTGTGAGGCACAAGCCTCACAATTGACTTGTGCCACATATTCAAAGGGCAAATCAATTGATTTTTTTACCACTAACGTCATTGTGTTTCAAAGATGTCTTCTATATTTGTAATTCATGCTTAAACGGAAACTCCGCTCAATGCCAAAGATTTAGGGATAATGAGTGATTTATAGGGTTGTGCGAATATTCGAAATTTCGAATAGTAGTTCCGAATAATACACTATTCGATATTCGCTTCGAAAAGAACTGCACTATTCGCGTTTTTCGAAGTGTTGATTGTGGCGGGTTAGCCCCGTTGAGTGTGCTTCTTACCAAGCACCGGTGCGCTGCGGAGAAGCCAAACCCGTGAAAGTGAGCTCCCCGGGTGTTGCTTCTTTGCATTATATCGGTGCTCGGTAAGAAGCGCACTTAACGGGGTAACCCGCCGCGATGAACAATAGGGAGTTTTAGAATAACGTACGCAATTTTAGCGCACGCTAGAGCTAAATTTAGCGCTTGTATTAGAGCACGCGACACAAGAGCGTTTTAGAATAGCGTTTCTCCGTCGCAACGCAAAAACCCTATCAGCTCGCGCTTGCGACGCACCACCAAGATACAGTCACAATTTTTATTTCACACACAAAATGCTGCAACTTTAGAAAAAAAAAAACAACAAGTTTTTTGGTTCAGAGTACTAATTTAGATTTGTTTAAAACTGAAAATGCGACGCGAGCGGTTGACCGGTCGTGTCCGCTTGCGTCGCCTTGGCAAGTGAGGTGTCGTACTGACCTTCGCACATCGTGCCTTCGCCGCAAAATGTTTGCGCGTCGCAAGCATCAAGTTGTCGGTGATCATTGCCAAGCCGAGTACAATGTCGTCCCGTATTGAAAATCGCAGTCACTAGTTTGCCTCCGACGTCGTACTCACGACGCCGCCAAAGCAGCCGCCGACATTTTCCTGGAAGCTGCCATTTTGTTTAACTCTGCTCGTCTTGGCTTTAGCCAACTTCTCATTACGAATCCTCCTTGGAGAAGCGCAAAGACTGTTTGCGTACGCACGCTATTTCCGAGAAATAGCGCACGCTAAAATTACGCACGCAAAGCGCAAAACCTAGTTTGTGTTCGGAGCATGCGCAGTGGCGACGACGCTATTCTTTGCTTACGCAAAGCTTAAAGGGGCACTGACACATCAAAATCATATTTTTTTTTATTATCCGAAACGATTGAAAACGATGCCGGGACATTACCCTCAAAATTTGAAATTTGGGAATTCAGTATTCGTGAAGTAAAAAAACAATTTCCAAATGCCGAATTCGAAGTTCCCGCGCGATCGGCGCCGGTGCCTTGACGTCAAAAATTGCCAAGACCTGAGAGTCCCCTTTCTTTCACCACTCCCTGCTGTTGCCATGGCGACCCAAAGCAAGGAGGAAAGGAGCGAGCGGCGGCGTTCCGGCGGACCGGTTTTGAGCGGTGTCGCCTGTTTTCCGTTGGAGGATACAAATCCAGGAGACGGCACCACGACGAACTCCCGATTTTTGGTATTTCAAAAAGAAGGGCCGTACTGCGTTTGCAATTGCGTTAAAAAACATGTTTTAGGATTGCCGTAATTAAATGTGATAGAGATGTCGCCTACAAAGCTTCTAAATTTCATGATTCTTGACGTCACCGATCAAAAGAAGCGAGGAGGCGAGAAGCGGGAAAATCAAACGCCAAAAATAAAAAGGCGCGCGCGCGCGCAAAAAAATTTTTTTTCGCGATGCGTTTTTTTTTGCGTGTCTATGACTGCAACTTGCATCGTTTTAGACAATAAAAATAACTACGACCTTTGGGGTGTCAGTGCCCCTTTAAGCGTGCACTATTCTAAAACTCCCTAATATCGTAATTGCGTGCTTGGGATTCATTTTATGTCAAATCCGTCACTTACTTGTCATCCCAAGACATCAGACCTTCTGAGGTCACAGTTCATAAATATAGATAGATTAAACTTAGCTTATAAATGAACAAGTGGAATAACCTTCACAGGCTTAGCTGGGTTTTCGTCTAAGCATTATGCAATAGTAATGAATGGCGTGGAAAAACTATTCGATATTCGAATCAAAAATATTCGGCCAAAACCACTATTCGCTTCGAATTTGCTTCGAACTCGAAATCCACTATTCGCACTAGACTAGTGATTTCGCCTTAAAAAGCACTAGTAGAAGACACCACGCCATTTGCTTCGCGAGAAGTGGGATTGTTAGATCTAATTTTAAACACGAGCAGAAATCGAAAATGAAACTTCAGCTCTGTCCGGCAACATTGGCCTCGCGCCGCCAGGAACATGGCCATCACATGGTGCCAGATGTCACATGATCCTCTACGCAACGACGGGCAGGATTGGGGCGGGCGTGTGCCAGGCGCAGGTGTCGTCTGCACCGCACTCTTCACCACGTTTTGGTGTCTACGACATTCAACGACGTCTGCACAACTGCGGCACAAGTCTGTGCATGTGTGTCCGTAGTGTGGACGAAACTACAGGAGACAATAATCACAAACGGTGAGACGACGACGGCTGTTGCGACGCGGGAGACGACGGTCGCAGCGGGACCACTGCGAAATGGCAGAACGGCTCCCAAGAAGCGTGCTGCGCAGGCGCGTTACGTCAATCATATGAGCACCGCCGAGCACCGTGAGGAAACACTGCTGACATCACCTGTTTCGCTGGTTCGGAGAAGTAAAAACAAGCAAAATTGTGATGACGTTTAGCTCAATGTTGGCTATGTCCACACTGTAGCCTTCCCTGCACTGTTGGTTGCGTCTCAATTCAACCGTTCGAGTCGACCGATTTCGGCAACTTGGCGAGTTGACAAGTTTGCAGGACTGTTTAAGAAACATTTAGACAGAGCTAGGTCGTAATATTTGGTGTGTAGTCTTCCTATGTGATACTGAAGAGGACTGCATTGTTTTCTCGAAAACAAAAATGAAGCGGAGTTGCCTTTTAAGTGCACATTTCCGAAACATACTCAACCCATGGGCATTGTGAAACCGTTTAAAGCTCCCGAACAGCCTCGTGATCTTACTCCTTGTCAAGAGCTGCTGTTTGTCACGATCCAGGCAACCTGAGAAACTTCCATTAAAAAACTTTCAGCCTTTCTACTCTGGTGAAGAAGGAAGACCAGCGAGGCTGTACTATGGTCAGACGACCTCAAGGACGACTTCTTGGACGACCTCAAGGACAACGCCTAGGGACGACGTTTAAGACGACCTCAAGGACGATGTCAGAGACGACTTCTAAGACGACCTCGAGGACGATGCCTAGAAGACGACCTCAGGGATGACATCTAGACGACCTCAGGGACGATGTCTAGAACGACCTCAAGGATGACTTCTAAGACGATTTTGAAGACGTCTTGAACGACTTCTGGGACGACCTCGAGGACGACGTCTAGGACGACCTCAAGAATGACTTTTAGGGCGACCTCGAGGGAAACCTCTCGGACGACATCAAAGACAACTTCAAAGACGACCTCGAGGACGACCTCGAGGACAACCTCAAAGACGACTTCTAGGACGACTTCTAGGACGACGCCTAGAGAAATTTAGCCTTTCCACTCTGGTGAAAACCAGAACTGGAAAGGTTGCCGCCACCTATTAGAAGGCCGGCAAGCCGATTGTCTGGTTGCCGCCGTCGCTCATAGATGGCTGTAGCTGTCCAGAGTTTTGTGTCGACATTTCTTTGTGGGGGACACGATCCTGGGGAAGCTAGCCCTTAACAGCTAGCTCCGCTGTAAAGCGGTGTCCGTTCCACCTCAGTCGGGCAAAGCCAAACAGCGAAACTATGGTGCATAGAAGGCACCTTCAACTGGTGCACTCAGCCTCCTGCACCACCCAGCACACATAAAAACTAGCCCCACAACAGTTACAGGATGTCAGGATGGCCGTTAATTGCAAAAAGTTTAGGTAAAAAAACTGAATGCTGCTGTAGCGTTCCACCTGCTATCTGCCAAATCTTGTACGAAATAGTAAAGCAGAAGGGCCTCTTTCCAGTTTCACCGCGCGCTGTGTACAGCAGAGGCACGACAGCGGTGGGCAAAGGGATCGCAAACGAGGAATCGGTAAACGTCGGAGCTCCAGGCACCGGAGTGAGAGCCCCGCGGAGGAAAATCACTGACCTTCCAGGAGACGTGCGCTGAGAGGTGGACGCACTCGGCCTGCGAGAGCCGCCCGAGGACAGCCTCCTTGGTGGCCTCCGCGCCTACCAGCGCCTCCCCGCCCAGGATCTCGGCCACCATCTCGGCCTCCTGCTCCGCGTGCGGGATCTCGGCACACCCGAGCCACTCCAGCGTCCTCCGCGACACCCTGGGGTTCCCGACAACCAGCGACGCCAGCCGGTCAGCCGGCGAGGGGTAGTGGCCGTGGTGCTGCTGCCTCGCCGCCTTGGCCCGCTGGCCCGCCCTGAGCACCGAGAGCGACGGGAGCACCGTCAGGCTGAACCGCTCGCACAGGTACTCCGTGGATCCGTTGGCGCGGAGCATCGCGAACGGGACGAGGTAGAGGTCCGCGTCGGGGACGACGAGCAGGTCGCGGCCGGCACAGCGGCAGAGCTCCTCCTCCGAGTGTCCGATGAGGAGCTCGTAGAGTGCGTGCAGGGATGGTGGCCCGGGCCAGTGCGGGCGTGGGGCACGCATGCTGCCGGCGCGGCTGGCCGGGCCGGAGGTGACGCTCACGCTGCCCACGCTGAACAGGCTGCTCAGGCTGTAGTTTGAGCTGTTCAGCAGGTGGTTGCGGTTGCCCAGGCGACTGAAACCGCCGGTGCTGTGGCGTTCGGGGTCCTGCAGAACCAGGGCAACATTCGGAGCTTGGACCGTTTTCCCCGTAAACAAAATTACTTACGAGTTCGCTTGAAGAGCGATCTTTTGAGCGGTAGGAGCAAACACGGTGATGTAATAAAAGCACTGTTTCTGTTTGTTGTATTTTGAACTTTGATTCTCAAACTCAGTGACTCTAGTGGAAATGTTTGCCGCCTGTTAGCCCACAGTTTAACTTACTACCGTAAAGTTCCGAAAGAATGCCTACCCGAAATTAATAGATTAATGGTGAAAAACATTGGGGTGGGCTATCTTTGAGGATGCCACAGCAAAACCTTATCAAAAATTAATGATAAACACCTCGGCACTGGCTACAAACCATGTGATGCGTGAACCGATACAGCAGATCGCGGATATCGCAAATTCGCGTTTGACGATGCAATAAACACGCGGGAATTCACTACGAACTCTTGTGTCACAGGAAAGCCTACCGCAGGTTGCGGACGCAGCAGATTCGCATTTCACAATGCGAAGGACCCGCGGAAACCCGCCGAGAACTCGCATCTCACTGGAACGAATACCACAAATTGCGGACGCAGCAGATTCACGTTTCATGGTGCGGTGAACAAGCAAAAACCCGCTACAAACTTGCCTGTCATGAGAATCAATGTCGCGCGTGCAGATCGCGGACGAAAACATGGGAGTCTGCTATAAACTTGTATGTTACGGGAACGGATACCGTCAATTGTGGACGCAGCAGATTTGCATTTCACGGTGCAACAAACACGCAGGAACGACTCGCGCGTTACAAGAGCCGATGTCGTGCACGCAGGTAACGGACGAATGCGGGAACCTGCTACGAACTCGCTTGTTAGGCGTGCCGGTACAGCAAATTGCACGGTTGATGCGATTCCCATCGGACATCGCGTGACGCTGAACGGGAATCGGGAAGCAGGCAATGTTTCGGCATTTTTATGTTACAGATATTAAGCCAGAAAAATGAGATGAGCGATCTCTCAGGGACGGGCATTCTCTCAAAACTTTACGATAAATGACAATAATGGCAATTGCAAACAGACTACGATATTACCCGCAGCGAGGTGATGCAACAAAAGCTTGAAAAGTAAAGAGAAATTGCCATTTTTAGATACATACAAGAAAATGTGGCTTTGACGCAGGCAGAAAGCAACCCTGTCTAAGGTCGGGGGACATTTACTTTATATAGCAACGCAAAACTGCAGCGACATACCAATAAAATTGCCGCGTCAATTAAGCTCGCACAGCTCCAGGCAAACATTCCATTCACATCCATAGCACGTTTGTGAAACATTATGACATCCCCAGGATGTCCAGAGAACCGCGTGTGCTCCTATGCTAGGGACTGCAGTTCCCTAGGCAGTACAGATGTACTATGAACGTCCACAGCATAGGTTCCCAGACTGGGTTCCAAGAAACACTGGGATTTCTCAGAGCATCCTCGTATGTTCCCCGAGATCCCCAATTTTTTTAACTGTCTCTGTTTCTAGCAGTGTTTTTCCAGTTACCTAAGAATTGTCTCCAGCCGGAGAAAAAACCCGGGCCATGAAACGATTTTTTTACTTTCGCTAGATACTACTTAGAGTCACTCCCTAATATTAATAACCGAATTTCTAAGCAATAGCAGTCAGCAAATAAATTGGAGTTACATGAGCCTCGTTCATCCCCAAAACTCTGAGCCAAAAGAAGCTTTATCGCGAGGCATTCCTCGGTCGCGAGAAAAATGTGGGTTGCTCGAGATTAAACGTTGGGGCTCCGGTAAAGAAGGAGAGTCGGCCAGAGACCTGCCCCAGCCGGTCGCCGGCCTCGTCCCAGTGGCTCTGCCAGGGCTCCTCGGCATCGGGCTCCACTCCCAGGGCCTCCCTGAGGCCGGCCACGTGGCGCTCCAGCAGCGGGGCGCCCACGGGCAGCTGGCCCTCCCGGTCGGGCAGGGCTGCCTCCGCTCGACCCTCCCCACCCACGCTCGCCTCCGTGAACTTGACCACACCTGCGTCCGTCCAAGGCCACAGTCACTCCGAGAGCAGTCGGGCGCAGAAAGGAGTGGCGGCTCATTCGCTGCACGTTTGCTTACGTCGGCGATAGCAAACGCAACAAGTGCCATGACGACGCACCTCGGGTGCCGCTCAACCGACTTTGTCAGAGCGTCGCGTCGGTGGCATTTGTAATGGTTTGAGATGGATTATCGATCCCATCTAGGCTCTCTAGGCCGTGCCAGCGATCGCAGCATGCTCGAAGCGGTTGGAGCAAGAAAGTTGCTCTTTGTGCTCAGCTGCTCAGCGTGCTCCCGGCGAGTCCACCTTCGTTTCATCATGCTCTCACAATTAATTATTTCGACTCTGTGTGAGACCGTCGCTGCCTGTTCGCCTTGCGAGAGCGAAATTCGAAAAGCAGAACCAAAAAGAAAAGAACAAAGCCCACGCTAACCGGCAGCGAAAAAACAAAGCAGACGGCGCACGTGTGCACACTGATCCGCAGAGGAGGTTTGCTTGGCGGCGCTTGACAAGGAAGAAAATGCGCGCTTTGGTGGTCACGTGATTTCAAGGCAAAAAAAAAGAAAACAAATTGTATCGCTCGAGTTCCCACATGCAAAACAGATGCCTGCATGTGTTCCACGGGGATGCCATGGAGAAACACTCCCGATGTCTCGTCTTTAAAGCGCCGCTTTTCAACTTGTGCTTCATGAAACTCTTTTTTTTTTTTTTAAATAAGACAGTGCTTACACGTTTCTGAGGGCCGTTTTCTGTTTCAGAGTTTGATGTGACCAATAGGTTGTTTATTACGGAAGTACATTTTATGTGCATTTTCATTTCAAATATTTGGTCATTGGATATAATTGGCTGTATCCCAAAGAGGCGTGACTCTATATCCCTGCATGCTCACCCTTGTGAGGCACAAGGAGCCAGGTGAAGAGGCGGCCAGCAGCCACGCTGTAGTAGAGCACGCTGGCCTTCTGCCGGTTCACCACCTCCAGCATCTGCTCCACGCTGGTCGGAACATATGCGCACGAGCCCTTGTGCGCGTGCTCCGAGAAGGCTCGGGTGCGGCTGCGTTCGGCCACCACCAGGGCCTCTTCCGGCCTCCCCAGGGACACCAGCACCCGCTGCAATCCGTTTCTCTGTCAGCCACCCGTTTGGCCCAATCACTTCGAGGATGTCGTCGAGACCAGCGAGCATTTAACGAGCAACTCTCTCACTCTATGAGTAACTGCTTGCATATGAAGCCTCTGAAGTGCTGCTGCCATCCCGCTGTCTTAAGCATGGCGTGAGTTTCCCTCTCCGATAAACTATCAGCTCCTAGATTGGCACGGTGTTTTCTACGTCCCCCACAGGAGGCACACATCGGAGTTCGGTTCACATTTGTGTCCTTGCTGAATGGACACGTGTCCCGGCTGAATGCTGACGCGGCAATCACGTCCTAGCTGTGCCTCGCGCTCCGCTAGGTGACGCGAGAAATCCAGCGGTGCAACCATGTCGTCTAGCACAAGGGGTTCTCAAATCGGATTTCCTAGGAACACGGGAGTTTCTTGGAGTATCTTTATGGATTGTCCCTGGCCCTGAGTAAACTGTTTTCCCAGTTTAGGCGCTGCTTTAGATCTGAGCCGCCCATTGACACAACTACCTATGAGCCAAACACTCGCTAGTTTGTGCGCCACTGTTTACGAGGCTTGCGGGCTCCTGCCCTACTTTACTGCATCAAATCCAAGGTGAGAGTTTCCTGGAATATCTGTCAAGGCAGAGAGGTCTTCCTAGAGATTAAAAAGTCTGACGTAGGTGTTGGACAGACCCAAAGAGAGGAAGGGAGGGCGAAAATATCTTTTCACCACAGTATGGAAAGAAATGACAGCGCCGTTATTGCGCGTAGTGACAGCCACTTTTATGCCGCTCTCTATTTACTTCATCACGCACAGCCTCGTGGTTTGCTACATGAAACATGTAGCAAAAGGATTACACACTCAATGTGTCTGCCTAAGACTAAATTGAGACCATCCCTAATGACATCTGATAGTCTACGATGAGGAACATGTATCTCGCCAACCACACAAGCGGTAGAAGACACTTCCACCAGGCAAGAGTGCACGTGCTCTGCCACATGGAGGGCCAAGGCCGCGAATGCAGTTCACCTGGAGGGCCTGCGAGGTTCCCGCCAGGAGCTCCCCGAGGGCGTCCCTCCGGTCGGGCGTGCCCCTGGCCTCTGCCCCGAGGGCCTCGAGCAGGCCCTGTGCCCTGTGCAGCTGGTGCTGTGCCCCGTCCAGGTCCTCCTGCAGCCAGAGCACCAGGCCCAGCCGGTGCCGCACCCGGGCCTCCTCCTCCCGCCGCCCCAGCTGCTCGGCCGTCTGCAGACCTTGCTGCAGGTAGCTGGCCGCCTGGCCCACGTTGCCCAGGGCATGGTGCACCCGGCCTGGAGCCAACGACGCCCAGTTAGGCACCGAGCAGATGGCTACAGGGGCACCATGGTGGCCTTGGACTGCATGCATTCTCTCGTGAACGTGGTGGCACGCTGGCACCGTCTGTCGGTTAGCCCCGGACGCCTCCAACTTGCATGTACAGTCCCTGACCGATACTTCGCAGGGACCGAAAAAACATCCGAATAATAGAGCAGTCCGAACCTTTATTATGTCTAAGCAGGCTTAAAAAAGCCGTAAATACTGCCTTGTTTCAGGTTACACCTCCGATTGCGTTCAGCAACTTTCTATTAGCTTGAGAATCACTGCCTTATTTCTAGCATTATGGTCAAGTACTTTCCGCGCTTTTTAGCGACACTTCGCGGCAAAGGAAGAACAGATGGGGCCATGGGGGGGATGTCCAAGTCAGTGCAGTGGGAAAACACGATTCACTGAGACGAAATGAGAGGCGCAAGTTCACGACTGCCATGGCGAATGAACAAAGCAAAAACGGTAACAATGATGACGATAATGACGTGCAGCTAGAGAAAAAAAAAAAGCCGGATAGCGTCACTCAGCAGTAGGACCTAGCAGTACTCCAGTAGAGCTGCCAAGCCAAACCAATCCATGTGCAGCCAACATAGAACCTAAAATGGCGGCTTCTCGGTGATGTTCCCCGCTGTTCGCTTGCGCGATTTTATCCGAAAAATTTATCTTTTGGACTTCAACCTGTTCAAACCGTCGGTAGTGAATATGCACTATTTCTATCGGGTAGGTCACGGTTCCTCCTTTAGGTCCGAAATATCGAACAAGTTTGAATTATTGGCATCCGGAAAATCGGTCGGCGACTGTAACTGAAGGTTTGCCACTACCGTAATATCCCGAGTCATTGCCCACCCCATTTTTTGGGCCAATATCGATTTCCAAAAAAAAAACAAAGTCATCGCCCGCCCCTTCAAATACCCCAATGCAGACTTCGCGATCCGCGAACACTCATCCTACCCGAATGTCGCAACCGCAGACCTTACAGTTGGAGGACGTCCGTGACAAAGTAAAACGAAGGAGGGAAAGACACTTCTCTTTGTTTACGCATTTCCTCCATGAGCGACCCCGAAGTGGTAGCATATCCGTGCGAAAAAAAAACAATGGAGATAACAAAATAAAAGTTGGTTTTGCTTAAAAAAAATCGACCCAACAACAAAAAAAAAGTCGGAAAGATAACACAAGCAGTAACCCATTCAGGAGTAGGGAGGTAAGCGAACGCCCCATATCCTGGAATGTAACCACGGAGTGTAAGGTCAAAGTCTGTCTCCGCAAAGTAAGGCAGCCACGAACCCGCTCCTTCTGCCCGCACGTCACGACTCACGACCGCGGTTGTGCAATGTTTTAGACAAAGCCAACGGGTAAATAAAGTTTTGCTGTAACGCCCTACACAGACCTTTGTAGAGCGTCCCAAACCCTCATTGATAGCACGCCGTGCACGGACGCATGCATGTATGCACCAAACAAGAAAGTTGCCCAAGAGCTTGCGATCGACAAGGCGCCCGACTTGGCCCGACGCCAAAGTATTTACCAACGTAATCGCCAGCTTTTCCGCTTTCCCAGCATCGCTCTTCGTCGCTTCATTGGTCCGCTCGCTCGCTCGTTGCGCCTGGTCGGTTTTTCTATTTCACTGTGAACTTTTCTTTTTCCTTTTTTAGTAACTAGGAGAACATAGTGGTGACGTGCTTTCACGAAACAAACGTTTACGCCGTACACAGATCGGCGGTGTTCCTAGCGTGTACGCAAGCAACGAACTTCGCGATAGTAAAACATTCTTTCGTGAGCATTTTTTCTATAAAACAACAAAACTAAATCGAGTTTTGAGTTTAATGTATCTCTTGTGCAGCAGCGCTTGATACGCAGAGAAAAATGGGCGGTCTTTTCCGCTTTTCTCAACTTTTTGTGCTCACCCACCAAGACATGGCCCACCCCACCTTTTTATGAATTTCAGGCGGCAGGGAGTGGGCGATAAATCAGGATATTACGGTATTCACGAAATCAAATCTACTCACTATTTATGAAAAATAGTCGTTTATAATATTGTCACAATTATTTCGAACCCACAAAGAAAACATTATAGAAATACCGTTAAATTTTGTATGAATGCCCGCCTTCGAGATATCGCCCATTCTGTTTTTTGGGTTGAATATCCATAACATAAAAATTCCAATTCCCGCCAGATATCAATCGCGCTATGTCCGCAAATCAATCGCATGATCTCCTGTAATAAAGTTTTTCAGACAGACAGATCTCCTGTAGCGGTACCTGTGAATAGCGTGCCTGAAACGGTTCCCTCATGTTTGCATTTCTCGCACCGCGAAACACGAACCTGTTGCGTCCGCATTTCCGGAATCCTCGACATGCGAGAATTCGTAGTGGGTTCCTGCGCTTCTGTCCGCGATCTGCACGCCCGATATCAGTTTTTTTTAACACCCGACTTTGTAGCGGGTTCTTGTCTGCTTATCCCACCGTGAAGTGTGAATCTGCCGCGTCCATATTTTGAGGTACCCGTTCCCGTGACGGGGGAGTTCGTAGCAAATTCTCGCGCATTTATTGCACCGTGGAACGCGAATTCGCCGTGTTCACGATCTGTGATATCAGTTTCCATTTCATCTGGTTTGCAGGGGGGCCCTGTGTTTATCACCGTTTTCTACATGAAATTTCGCTGTCGCATTCCTGAAGATCACTCACCCCCATATTTGTGGGGTTGTAGGGCGGGGCTGGTAACTATGGTGCTGATAAAGGAATTTATGAGTCCCGATACTTCTGGGAACCCAGGATACCACCCAGGGATCGCACTTTTGGCAAAGCGTAGCATTTTGAACGTGGAAGTATACAAGGCTCCTACGGTTTTTGACATTAGGACAGTCTCCTCGCTAAACGACACGACAAGGCCAGCCTGTTGGTCATCAGAGTCACTGAATAAACTAGGTTTTCATCGAGACCACACTAATCAGCGTTGCCCTGTTGTCGCTGGCTTTATCTGGCTTGCATAGCAAAAAGTGTTGATGGTACGTTTCATCCTTCTACCTGTAAAAATGCCCGTAACAAGGCTACAGGGTATTGCCAGGGCCTCTTAATGGCGTTTCTAAGAGACAACGTATTTATTCGAAAATAGGTCAATTTTTTTCCCAGCCACAGGCACGAGCGCTGCCTGTGGCTGGGACTAGCGTTCAACCAGTCAGGGCACGAGCCAACCGCAGCACTCGTGCGATGCCCTTTCGTGGAAGAGGGAGACCTTTCTGCGGGCAGAAGGAGGATTCTCACCCAGGCTGCTGTAGGCCAGGGCCTTGGCAACCTTGTCCCCGAGCTGGGCGGCGACGCTCAGGTGCTGCTCCTGCAGTGCCACGGCCCGCTCGTAGTGGCCCAGGGCCTCGTGGGTGACGCCCAGGTTGCCGTAGGCCCTGCCCTGGGCGGCCATGTTGTGCGTCTCCTCGGCAATCTCCAGGTCCAGCTGGTGCCAGTGCAGGGCCTGGTCGTGGGAACCCATGGCCTGGACGGAGGAGACGGGGCAGGATTTACATCCCCGGGACATCCATGGAAGAACATACGAGGGATGTCCTTCCAGAGGACGTCCTTACACCTTGCTGTGCACCGCATGCATTGTGGGTATGAACCGCGCTTAGAATTAATCGAGTTTATCAAAAGGGCACATGGTAAGACAAAAAACAATTTTCGAGCTTTCTTGTAAGGCGGGGACGGACAATGAATTTCTTCAATTCTAGAGATACCTGAATGAAAATTTTAGGGCATGTTCATAACACTAACATAAGACTAACTGCAAAGTTTCACGAGGCTGTGATTATTCATTCTTGAGTTATAAGAGTTTATCAAGATGGGTTATGTGTGTCCCTTATCCTTGTCCTGGAGAATCTGCAAAAGGCCGTGGAAGCGTGAAATTCGTCATGGTGACCGCTGGATACGTACCCCAGGCCATAACAGAGCCTTTTCTAATTTCTTTGCAGACAAATTTTAGCACAACATTGAAGTTTCAGTTTTCTATCAAACACACATTCATAATTTTTCTTTGTTTATTAAAAATGTTTAGCCCAGCTTTCGAAAAAAAAAACAAGATTGTCATGCCCTCACAAAGTTATTTAAGAAAAGATACAAAAGACAGCACGCAAATCGGATCAGCAGTTCCCGAGATATCGTGGGGATGAGCAGCCATGGCAGAGGAAAAATCCATTTTGAGCAAACGGTGGTTGAAATTTAGACACACTTTCTGTGTCTAAATTGCAAGCGCTGGAGCTTGCAATCTCGAAATAAACTGCAGCGGTCGAGGTGCACGGGGCGCCACGCATGCTCGCAGCGACGGCTTCCTCCTCGGCGGCACGGAAGATCCATTACTGGAAGCGTCGACGTGATAAACACTGGCGGCACACTGTGCAGAAACTTTGAACTTCGCCATCCTGATCAGCTTCATGGAGCGCTTTCGCACGCCGAACGCGCGCGCCGTCTTGTATTTCGTTTTACGCATCGTGTGCAGTTACGAAATAGATGGGGCAAGCTACAAGAAACTGCTCGAAGTTCAGCGGGAACGATCGTAAAGGCGGCGAAAAGCGAAGCGGAGCTAACAATGCGGGGGGCGAGCAAGGAGTCCATTACCGTAGCAGACGACGTGACCGGCAGCAACGGGTGAAAACGGAGAGGAGGGCGCGTGCCGCGGCCAATAGTAGCCGCGTGCTCCGCCGCGCGCTTCGGGAGCAGATGGTTTGTCCAATCACGGCTGTGCAATTGCAACATGGCAAAACACTGACCGCGCGAAAACCACGAGACTGACGCCATTTTGAAAATCGGGAAAAAGAAGACAAGGAACTCGCGTTCAAAACAAAACAAAAATGGCGGCCGTTGGCTGCAAAGAACGGGAGTGCCGATAGCGTGAACTTTCCATTGATTTTGACACTTGACTGCCACTTGAAAGCTACCCAGGCCCCGTAAATATCTCATTTTTATTATTTTCATCGTGATTTTAGCAGTGATAATTACAGAGAAGATAGATTAGGAGATATACAACCCAAAAATATGGTTTGCAAAAAATTAACTTTTTTGCAATTTTTCAGTTTTCAAGGTTGGCGTCCCCCCTTAACTGCTGCGTGTAACGATCATTCTAGAGAATAAAATGTGTCTGCATTAATAAAAACTCCTAGCTACCAATGTAAATTCACTCGCAATGCATAACATGTCAGAGCTTTTCCGCGGCGCCCAATTGCTTCCCGCGCAACCATATTTGTTTACTAGACCATCTGTTATTTCTAAAATACTTCATATATAATAAAATGGTGGTGTTGAGTGAACGAGGTCCTCCTTCCAATACCTGGTAGACGGCCCCCAGGCCGCACGCAGCATCTCCGCGCAGCACGGGGTCGTCCTGCGCCAAGGCCATCTGCCGCTGGAGGCAGGCAAGTGCCTGCTCATAGTTGCCCAACTGGCGGTGCAGGGCGCCAAGCTCCCCGTAGGCAGCTGCCTTTCCCGGCGCCGCACCTTCGGCGGTCAACTCGTGGGCAACCACGAGCCGCTTCTCCAGGCACACCTGTATGAACGGAAGCGAAGAGCGGGTCGAGGCTGGAGCCGTGGCATTGCGCATACCACGGGGGACGGCGGCCAGTCTCGATGACGCATCGCGATAGTGGTACATCGAAGATTTTGGCTGTGCCCCGCACGATGTGGCTATTGCGAAGGAGTGTATGGCGCACCGTGGGTTCACGAGGGCGCCCATCAAACCACTCTGCCATCTTGGCCGCGAGGCGGCTATGCAGTTGCCTCGCCTCAGACACGATCACATGGTCGTGTCGCCGTGGAGTCGATTAGGATCTCGAATTCAGCTCCCGACGTGCTGCTTTCTCTCCTAGCCACTGGATGGCGCTGCAGGCGCCCCAGTCCGGGCGAGGAAAAACCTCCTCGCCCATCGATCGATATAGTCGGGGGACCGGGAGGCAAAAGTCTCTTAGTACTCCGGACGGCACCGAATCCAAACAAGTGCGTGCGACCGGATCTAGGGTAATCGCGGGACAAGCCCAAAGCTAGACACAAAGAGGGCCCCCAGGCCTCATATCCCGCGATTACCCTAGATCCGGTCACCACACACTTGCCTGGATTTCGGTGCCGTCCGGTGTCCTAAGAGGCTTTTGCCTCCTGGTCCCCCGACTATATTGATCGATGGGCGAGGAGGTTTTTTCTCGCCCGGACTGGGGCGCCTGCAGCGCCATCCAGTGGCTAGGAGAAAAAGCAGCGCGTCGGGAGCCGAATTCAAGATCCCAATCGACCCCGCGGCGACTTGACCATGTGATCGTGTCTGAGGCGAAGCAACTGCATAGCCGCCTCACGGCCAAGATTGCGGAGTGGTTTGATGGGCGCCCTTGTGAATGCACGGGGCGCCATAAGTGTTACTTCTGTTGCTCATAAATTGTTACTCATGTTTTGGAACATTACCCAAATGAACACAAAGTTAGCACGCAAACGAACTGGTGACGATCGAACATAATAGACTAAACCCCTGAGACTAGAGAGAATGAGGTACGACCAGAGGTTTGGAACTTACGTGTCGTGTCATCCTCCCTAGTCTAGGGGTTTTAGTCTGTTACATTACCCATACACTGTTAGCCTGTTACTACGAATTGTTACTCATGTGTCGAAGCATCACCCATGCAGGCTGTTGCTCATGAATCGTTACTCGTGTTTTGGAGCATTACATATGCAAGTTGTTACTCATTGATGGTTACTCAATCTTTAAGTGTTATCCATGAGGCTGCGGTTAATCTTATTCCAGAAAACAGTCAGGGCACAAGCAAGCTGCTGAAAGTTTACCACGGTGCTAAATAGAAATCTGTGACCGAAGTAAAGAAAACATAAGATTCAAGAGCGGAGGGGGCAGGAGAAAAAAAAGTGGACCCTCTTTTGTTTTTCTACCTTACACTTTCTAATCTTATGCCTTACTTACCCCAGGCTCGGATATTTTATGTGATGGTATACCGTTATGCCTTCGCAGAAGTTTTTACTTAAGAATGAGGTTGGCCTAAATTCAAATATCTTTTGTATTTTTTAAATGCCTACTTCTTCCAACTGCCCAGGAAAGCTCTGTAATACAAAAAGAATGCACCTGCACGGGAGAGTGGTAGGTGTATAAATTGAGAAGACAGAACTGAGAAATTCACCCAAGGGAACTTGAACCCAGGAGCCAAGGATTGTAAGCCCGATGTTCAAAAAAAACACCAAGAGGCCTGTGAAGCGGTACATTGCTGACTGGGAAGTACAGGCATCTTTGTTTCATTGTGTCTTACCGCAATTACAAGTTTGGCAGGAAAGCATGACCTAAAAATGCTAGTGTTTTTTCAGTTCTTCTTTCTGTACACCGAAAGTTAGCCCACTCTTTACTTTCACCCGCTTTGCTCTTAATTTTAGGTGGGTTATCTCTCGGGATATTACGGTATATTTTCCCTCGCCTTCTTTCGCCGGAGCCAGAGCGATGTTTTTTCTACTGCGCCAGATGGATGGACGGATCGAGGGATGTATTCTTTATAACGGGCGGTAGCTTGCGCCACCTAGTTTCGAAATAAGGCTAGGTGGCATGTGGAGCGTGCAAGCCCTGTCATACGTTAATATGTTAGTCATATCTTAGTCATATCTTGCCATCTCGGACGCCGGAACTTCTCTTTCTTTTGAGGCTCCCGCTTGTCGGCCCGTCGCAGTTTGTCTCTGTGCTCGACTCGTCGCACGTCGGCGGGTTGGCATCGTACGAAAGGGACCAGGGTTGTTTCTCTGTCGTAACGTCGACGAGCACACACACCAGATTGCATTGGTCAACGTCATGCGCAACACGACGTAGCACAGCGTAGCCCCACACGCGTTGGCGCAGCTCACGAAACGTCGTCGACAAGCGCAAACGCGCGAGCGCCCCATTCGGGAATCTGGATGTCGGGGTCAGTCGAAGTGTGTGGAACGCTCATTTCTGCAATCTGAACCTGCTGTTCTTGCCATGTATTGTGTGCTGTTCTCGTGTTCCTGCGTCGGTGCGCATATTTAACGTTGCGCTACCCGAGGTTGCACTACCCCCGAGAGGCTTCATAGGCCTAACGAGCTGGATGCACATGCACGTTGTGCCAGCAAAAGCTGGAAGCTCGATGACGTGCCAAAGGTAATGTGCGGCATGACCTGATGTGTGTGCTCTATATGATCGTGTGCAAGTCATACGCAACAACAACCATTCCCGATCGAAAGAACTCAAGCTCTGTCGAATGTATGTGGACGGCGAACCTAGTAGTCATCTGAACTATTTAGCCAGCCAGAAACTTTCAACAGGGCTGTCTTTGGTGTCAGTCTCTTGAGTCAATGTGAAAGGCTAGCTATGATGATAGCACACCGGCCATGTGTCAGGAAGGGGTTGCAGTGGAATATTGTTTCTGATTTTCGATTCGACACCATGCATGCTGTAAAACATTGAGTGCATTGCTTCCAGGCAGAATCGCCGTAGTCGCTTGACAGGGTTCTGGCAAACCTACCAAGCGGCTCGCTTCAGCGGACACATAATTCAGAATTTTTGTTTTGCCATCGACATTTCCACAATATTTGGGAGAAAATAAATGCAGCTGACCATTGCCCCAAATTGTTGCTTCGAAGCATGAACACACGACACGGACAGTTTACACCGATTAGGAAACAAAAATATGCTGAGTGAGACGACGCTATTACCACGGAGACGCGCATGCGCGAAATGGAGCACTTCGTCAGGGTGCGCTGGGCCGCGCTGGACTGTAAACAAAGTGGTTCGGCACTTCTTCGCACAGGCAGAAGTAGTGGCCGATGCACGTCAGCCACTACCTCGAGTTGCACAAAAGAGAGCCTAAGTCTGCTGTCCGCCACAAGAATTCTAATTCTCAAAGCTCCAGGATTGTGAAGGTCCATCACAAGTATGTGCAAACAAAGCAGTTGCTGAAACGAAGTTTGAGGCAGCAGCAACTTGGGACTACTTAAGATGTGGAAATGCTCCGCCGATCCGTTTCCGCGTGCTATCCTTCGTCAATCGCTTCACTCCGGGAATTCACCCTGAGAAAGGGTGTGTCCGCAATCTTTGACAATTCTTTTAACAGGGAAATATGCCACACGCGACTGTAGCTTTTAGATTTTTGGGGGGGCTTTGAGCGCGTAGATTGCGTTACCACCATACAATGACGTTATAAGAAACCACTTAAGTGCACCTTTAAAATATGATAACATCAGCCATCCGACACCACGGAATTTGCAAGTGGCACAAGCGGGTAACTCCGACTCCCTCTGCAAGTGGGTTCGTGCATCCAAGGCACAATCTTAAGCAAGGTGCTCGTACTTGTGTTTGCAGGGATCACACAACAGGGGGCTTCGAAAGGGGCCATAGTCAGAGTACATGGTGCTCGTGGGAAATATCCAATGCATTGCAGGAGGAAATCTTAGCTGCATCAGAGACAGTGTATGTGTGTCCTTTAAAGGCGAAACATTGTTTGGTTATGTGTTGGGCGTTTTGTCAAGGCTGGATAAAAGTGTGAGGCTGGGTTGATGTGTGAGAGAGGAGGAATGAGGTGCTTGACGCCGATTGGTTAACGGGGAGGTCATGTGACCAGGGGTGGAGTGAGGAGGAGTAGGTGAGAAAGCTCTGGAAGATTATCAGGGTTATCATTTCAAGTGTACACATGCCACAACTTATTGGATGAAGAGCGCCGTGAAGGTAGGCTTCTGGCTGAACAGGCTAGACGTGCCGCTAAACGATGATATGAACGTTTGAGATGCTAGAACGTTTTATATGTGCGACACAATTGCCTAGCAATTTTTTACGAGTCTTTTCTCTCTTTCCATGTCTAAGTTTGAGTGCCACGAGCTCCTTGAGTGACGTCCTTCGCCTCGCAGTCCGTCTGCACTAACCAGGGCCTGCTGGAGGTTCCCCAGGCAGCGGTGGGAGTTGCCCAGGCCCCGGTAGGCCCTCTCCTGGTCTCTGGGGGACTGGGCCTTGAGGGAGATGCCCAGGTACTGCTCGTGGCACTTGACGGCCTCCTCGAGGTCACCCAAGGCGTCGTAGCAGTCCCCCAGGCTACCGTAGGCACGCCCCTTGTCCAGCAGGGTGCTGCTGCTGCCGCCCAGCTGCACAATCGGACGTGCTCGGTTATTGTACCTGACGAAAGAATCTGGCCGTTTCTTACGAGGACACCGTTCACGGGCTGCTGCTTTTCAAGCATGAAAATCTCTCGCCCTCGTGGTGCGGGACAGTTTCTTCCACTCCGTTCCCTAGACTACTTCATCATTATCTCATTGTAGCTGAAAACCCCGAGAGGAAATGTCAGAATGTTAGAAGAAAATCATTGCGCAATTCTTAGGGCATGGAGTTTGCTACAACGAAACCTTCCTGCTGGGAAACCGTTCTGCACTGAACAGCTGGTTTCTCAGAGTATTAGGACCCACTACAATGCATTTCATAATAAAAATATTCCAATTTCGAACAAACTTGAAACAAACCACGCACATTTCTTTTGCACATAGTTTGTTTAAACTGTACACTGCATGCAGAATCAGACTGGACGGTAAAAGATGGTTCGGAGTACTACCATGTTACGACCGCCTGCTTATGAAGCGATGGTTGCTATAGCAACCTAGTAAGTCCGTGCAACATGTCGTACTGGAACGCGAGGAGTAGTAACGTAGCCGGTTGCTCTGAAATGCAGATGTCTGAACCAGCCTCAAACAAATAATCAACTGCCTTAAACATTCCATCAGGAGCAATGAAGGTGCAATAGCACTAATAACTGCTGCACGGAGGGGAAGGCAGGATAGGCAGTGATCTAACACCTCCCCATCCGCGCGTGGCGCAACACCATTGGGTGCACGTGCCATGAGCTGCTTCCATCACTCATACGCCCTCCCATGCCTGCAGCGTAACCGACCAGATCACCAATTCAAACAAGAGCAGCCTGTGGAGGGCTCCCACAAAAAATTATTGCTTGAAAAGCTTCATTTCACGTTTCCTCCATCCTGCTGACAAAGGCCAGGGAGTGCAGAATGTGTCCTGCACACCACACAGGCACGCGGGACACATGCCGCGCAGGTGCGCGGGACACTAGCGCAAACCACACCCCATGTGTCGTTTGTGCTAGTTTTTTCATTCTGCACCACAGATGCTAGCCGGGGCAAGACCGAGCAAACAAGCGCGTCGCACGACCGGGCACTACTTTACATGACTTTCGTGCAATGCATGACGTCAATGAGGCGAGCGGTCGAATGATACAATGTCAGACCGCTCTCGCCGGCACGTTTTGCCGGGAGCCCAATCCTCCGAGAACAGCTATGCAACGCGGCCCAGTGGCTATACGGCGAGCGAGTGTTCCAAAATGCGTCTTTTGCGCATCAGAACGACGCGAGGAAGAGCGGGCCAATCAAAGAGCAACTAGAGAAAGCAGGGGGAACACACAATAATTAGGCAGCCAAGCACACAAATGCACGAGGTGCACAAAGAGTGGAACAATGTGCAAGCCGTATAGTATCCAAATGCCACCGCACCGACCCAAGTTCGAGCTCCGTTGGGGCTCAAACTTTATATATACACTTTACACATTAACATTAAAGGCCAACCTAGAGAACCATGTTCTGCGGGGGAAGAAAAGCGGTTCTCAGTTTCCTTCTTTTCATCTCGCACTCTTCTCCCCTCTATACACAGAAGCGGGTCTCTCAGATACTCCCTATAAAAAAAAGCAGGGCCTCCCTCTCACTCAAAAAAAATGAAGTTGAGAGAGCTAGGGTTTCCTCTTTTCTGCTTGTTAGTCGGCCTTTAACGTCGTGCAACACTCATGACGCTTGTTAGTGATAATTTTCTCGTAGAAAATGACTACTAATAAAACAGATCCAGCGTTAAAAGGCAACTTGTACTCGAAACCCCGCCGCCGCACCTGCTCCAGGAGGGCAAGCTGCTGCTCGAAGTAGCCGATGGCGTCCTCGAAGTGCGCCATGCCCAGGCGGGTAATGCCCAGGTTGCCCAGGGCCTGCGTCTCAAGCGGGCAGTCCCGCAGCTCCCGGGCCCGCTCCAGCTGCTCCTGGTAGCAGCGCAGGGCGTAACCCAGCTGGCCCAGGGACAGGTGTACGGCGCCCAGGCGGCTGTGGGCCAGGCACTCCCCGCGCACGTCGCCCAACTCCTGCTGCAGGGTCAGCTCCTGCGCACGTGCGTTTCGAGGCTTCATATCCATGTCGGTTTCACTGAACATCCTGGGCGACGAACCCTCTTCATAAGTTAGTCCATCCACCCTGTCCAGAGCCAGACCCGCTGCTCTAATGGCAGCAGTACGCGGATTCTCCACAACGGGAAAGGCAAAGGTCTTCAGAAGCGTATGGCAGAAAGCGAGAAATCGATTATTTGGTCTTTGTGGTCGTCTTCGGTTCATTAAAAGTGCCCGATTTAGGTGATCTCGTCGTTCTATGACCACCATAAATATTGGAGCTTTTGAGACTACCCTTGCGTGGTGCTGACTTTAGAGAAGGCTCTATTGGCAGGGTTTCCACGGTTTGATATTGTTTCGTAAAAATATGACCAAACACGCTCCGTACACACCTGCCCCTTCGCTTGGCAGCCTGAACTGTTTTAGATCCAGTCCCTTTGTTCACTAACAGGAACGGCGGCCCCTCGATACCTCCGGTGCAAGCTTCCTAACATGGATAAGGGCGTCTTCCAAGCGTGTGTGCGCAGCCAAAGCACAAGAAAGGGCGAGGAGCACGGGCTGGAGGCCAGGGCATCCAAAAGAGACGCGACCTGTAAGGGTCCCCACTGTCGGGCAAATATGGTGCTCTAAAACAGGTGGTGCTGTGCCATGTGCCAGCTCAATGCACAATGCTTGGACCCAAAACGGTTTCCCCTATCTTTATTTGCTACGTTTCAAACGTGCGGCGATCCGTTGACGCAAGCCAGCTTCCGGGGGCTCGACCTTTTTTGGGGGAAGCGACGGAAGGACTGCCTGTCTTCCTACGGTGCTCATCCACGTTGATAAACGCGCAACAGACAGTTCACACGGTTGCGTAGGCTGCGTTCAGAGCGACCTGAGCAACGTGTCGATACGAGAGTAACAACAGGGTCACCGTTAAAACTGTTCTGCCGTGCCAACCACCGACAACGTGTCATCACAGAAGTCACAGCAGATGAGCAGAAATCGCGACCTGTTCCGGCTTGTTCAGTGTTTTCCTGCTAGGTGCAGGCGCCTGTTTTGCAGGAGCCGTGAATAGATGGTGCGAATCGGCGTCCCAGTTCAACGACAATTTAAACATTATTTCGATCCTACGGAAACAGTCAGTACACGCAGAAGGTGTTTCCGCGCACACTCTTTATGGCAGTTTAAAACTTTTTCCTGCAGTTAATTTCTTTCTTTTTTTTTTGATAGAATGTGAGGGAGAGGAGGAGACGAGAGAGTGTGGGGACATTGGAGCGTCAAGCTCTGGTTGGAACGATTACTGGGTAAACGGTAAGCGTTTTGTCTTTACTCGCATTTCAAACGCAAAGAGCCAAATGCCAGCATCCAGCTATCGGACAGTGAGCAGACGGGTTGTTTCCTCTTTGCCAGTCTCCCCTTTGGAACGGTGGCAGAGCGTCGGGCTTACGTTCGTGGGTCTATGATTCGATTCCTGTCGAGTCATAAATTTTGTTCTTTTTTCTCAATTACCTATGTCTGTTTACAGATTGTCCTATGAAGTAGTATAATAATAATAATAATCTTTATTTTTCGGGTGCCCTAAAACGGCCGAGCGGCCTTTTCTTAGGTACACCAGCTCGTACAATAGAAACTCTTAAACAAAAATCCTACTCATTAAAAAAGAAATAGATGTGCATGTACACTGACGCGCTATGAGGTGACCAAAAGTTTGTCCAACTGACAGCGAATAGTAGGCAGGGGTGTGGTGATGTCAACTTGAGGTGGCACAATGCTGTTATATAATGTCTGTAAATGAGAAAGAGGTGACACACGGCATGGTGAGCAAATATCAAAACAGGTGAGCTGTCTCGTCGCGCGGAAAGGAACATGGAAATCGATTTTACAAATAAGCCATAAGGAATCGATGGCACCATTAATGATCTTATGCAGAAATACCAAGTCAAGGACTGTTCTTCTGTGTGGTAAAAGCTTCAGCGAAAATCTATTCAGTAAGCATTCATAGTCACAATACACGCGTCGTCCAATCCATCTATCATAAACAATTCGAACAAATCTTTTTTGCACATGTTCTGTGATCAAAGCCTGTGTTACAGATATTGAATTCCAAATCACAGAAGCAAACTTAAGCCTTGAAACCACTAAGGCATGAAAAAGATGTATTAAACAAGGTTTTTTTTATGTGCTATCCATTTTGTAATACAGTAAAACCCCGTTATAACAAAATGGGATATAACAAACTAATGGATATAACAAAGGAATTGTAATTCCCCTTGCTTGCTAATAGTGGGAAGAAATGGACATTGGCTATAACAAGCTAATGGTTATAACAAAATAATTACGGCCGCTCTTTCAACTTCGTTATAACAAGGTTTTACTGTAGATTCTCTGGTGTTCCGTCACACTTTCGTTACAAAACAAACATGGCGGGCTTCCGCCCTCCATGTTCGCTATCCATGCGCTAGGCAAACTCATTTTGTTAACGAACAAAAAGTTAGTACACAAACGAGCTGGTGAAGGTTTGACATAATTTAAGACAAAAACCCTGAGGCTGGGGAAAAGACGAAGGACAACACAACACACAAAGTCTCACAGTTTCATCGTCTCATTCACCCATTTTGCGCACGTTCCGATCTTTCGTTCTCAGCTGCAGGTTTATCCCCGTATCGAATTCACAACACCACCAATCTCAACTGACTCATAGTTTATCTCAACTTCAGCCCAAGGTTTTGGAACAACAAGCATTTGATCTGGCATACCAAATACGGGTGGCTTGCACATCCCCTATCTGCATCGTGTCAGCATTCACAAGTGGTGCGCGTGCAAACGCTCAAACCGTCGTCGTGCTCTCAACTCCTAAAAGAGACACCTCCCGTTTTAACCGCACAGATAGACGTGAAGCAACGAGGGAACGGGGAAGCAGTCTACCCGAGCATGCGACAGACCTGTGTGTGGTATCCGAGGGCCTTGTCGTAGCACTTAAGCTGCCGATGACAGAGCCCCAGCGCACCGTACGCCGCCGCCTTCAGGTGGCGCTCTTTGGAGTGCCGCACGAGCAGCAGTTGGCGCTGGTACATCTGGACGGCTTCGTCACTCTTCTTCATCTTCATCAGCACGTCCCCCATGTTGCCCAAGGCACGGAACTTGCCCTGCGTCGTAGGTCCACGTCAGTGTGTTCCCATTACAGAACCTTCAACGCACGTACATCCCTTTGATTCTCACCCTTCTTTTGTTTACCTCTTTGCGTCGTTGAACGTGGGAACAAAAAGGTAACGCTCAACAATCTAAAATTTCATGTCTTCCAAGAGCTACAACTCTTCCAAAAGTTACAAAATGCCAAATATGTTCTCAAATTTGGTATTGAATCAAAACCTGAGCTCAAATGCACACAGTGTCGTCTTCAATATGACGGTGAAGATGTGAGCGTCCAACTACAGTTTAGACCGCATATAACGTATTATAACTAGGGTTCGGAGTTTTCGGTTTAAACCGATAAAAACCGATAAAAGTACGCCGAATTCAATTTCGGAAATTCGGTTTTAACCGAAAAAGGTCAGTTTTTAGGTTCGGCTTTTTCGATTTAAATTGATAAAAACCGATAAAAGTACGTCGAGTCCATTTTCTGAAAATCAGTTTTAACCGGAAACGGTCACTTTAACCTTCCAGTCCTACCGCAGAGCCGTGGCGAAAAAGTGGAACGACAGTGTCTATCGAAACACGTCCGAATGTATGGGATACACGGATGCCATCACGACGTTTTGGTTTATTGTGCGCATCATCGATCGGAACGTAAAGTCTGAAATGCCCCATGACTTCGCCATGTACGGGCGTGTTTTCAAACTCGTTGAAAGGAAGACTGACTTGATGCAAGCTCTGCATGTTGTGTTGTGCTTCAAAACGTCTTTCCGTGTCTCTTTTGGTGCTCACAATTGGTTGATTGGCCGATTTTGACTCAGGCAGCGCTTCATCTCCTCAGCCTGCCAGTGTCCAGTGTTAGCGTTGAGAGGGCATTCTCGAAGCTCAGGGTCATATTAACAGGAAAGAAAGAGTGCGGATCAACGAAGAGAATCTGGGAAAATACATGCGTGTGTACTGTAATAAGATCACGTAATACTGATATACAGAAGGTGAAGTTCCATGTTTTTTTGGGCATAGGCTTCATATCTGACTTGTTTTTACTTCTGTTTTTTTTTATTGATTCTTTACAGTTGCACACATTTGCCAAATAAAGTGTCCATTTCTTTTTCAATATATCTGTGCCGCTATTATTTAAGTGATAAAAAAATATCAGAGCTACAAGGATAATCTGATCCGGTGTCCGTTGGTGTTTATTTTATATACACCGAAAAAAGCCGATAAATTTTGGTGGGCATAAATATACGCCGAAAAAAACCGAAAATTTAATTTTAAAATAAACACCGAAAAAAGTACGCCGAATTTTGAAAAAATAGAAACCGAAAACGCGGAACCCTAATTATAACGTATGTCTCGGGAGTCGCGAAAATCCGCACTATAAGCGGTACCACACTATAACCAAAACATCCATTTTTCAGGCCAAAATACATGCCATGAGACAACTTACCTTTGTAAAAGAATTTATTTTATGTTAGATGAAAAATAAAGCTTAGTTTGAGGAAAGTCTTTATTTCACCAGACTAGTACAGTTCTGTCTCAAGTGTGTCACACATTTTGAAAGAAATGAGCGGCTTTTGCCTGGCGTAGCCTTTTAGCGGCGTCGCGGGTTGCGGACGGGCGTTGCGAGCGTTCAGGATTGCTAACCCTAATCACTTTTCTCCGGAGATGAAAACGCGTGAAAATTCGCATCCTTCATACGGTGCGTGCCAGTAATACCTTCAACTTGAGCACAGGCATGAAATGCTCCAAATAAGAAATCCGGGCGATGTTCGAGGACACAAATGCTTAGAAAGCACCACTGTAGTCGAAGTAAACAAACACGACGACACGGGCGTTTCTGCCGTCTTGAGAGCGCCGCCACGACATCGCCGCACGAGTAGGTGGATCTTCCCTTCTAGTACGTGCTGGGTTATCATAGCGACACACAACGAAAATTCACAGTCAAGGATAGCGCTTTTACGCAGAACGATGAGATGAACGCCGTCTACGACGACGATCACAGCCGATGCCATGTTTGCGGAATAGAAGCAGCCGGCCCGCGACCGGCATGCAACGCGCGCGAACACTTCTCCTCGACCTGCGATTGGTCTGTCGTTGCGGTTGTTTGTTTCTTTGTTTCCAACGCAGCGGAGGGACGCACGCACGTGAACGACTCGTGCGTGCGTCCCTCCGTCGCTATGCCAACTGAAGCCTCTCTCTTCGATTCTCCCCGCGTTTTCGAGCAACCTCCTTGCCCCGCGAGTGCAGTTTGCGGCTCGCGCCGTCAGCGCCGTTATCTAGTGTCGCCCAGGGAAGCGAGCTCGCTGCTCCGGTCGTCGGCGCGGTCGACGGGCTGTGCCAAAAACCGCACTATAACCGGTATTTCCCTTCGCGCGCCTGCATTTTAAGCGGTATGTAATTACATGGAGTTCTATGGGAGGTGAACCGGTGGTTTAAAAAAACCGCGTTATACCCAGTCCTGCACTATAAGCGGTTACGTTGTAAGTGGTTTATACTGTATCAGTACTGCCAGCACCGACTAGCGGTGCCTCTGTCAATCACCGAGAGAGTAAGTGCAAAAAAAAACAGAGCAGTTACATTTTTTCATATCAGTCTGGGTATCAAGTAACCATCTGCTTTCACTCGCCTTTGGTGTGTCGACGCGTCCATCATCGCTCTGCACGAGCCTCGGACTTTCGGGCGAGTGCTTTTTATGTCTTTGAACTACCTCATTCGTGCAGTTACCCAAAATGGTGCGCAAGCAGCATCGGGGACAGGAAGCACCCGTTCGTTCGGATCCCAACTAACGACGGTGAGTATGAAAGTTTGCACCCCATTTGAGACTTTTCCTCAGCTGATCTTCCACCCACGAATTGCACCATTTAAAATGCTTTAGACCAAAGCAATGATTACCTCCGTGGATACCGAAGAACCATCGTTGGACTCTAACAACGGCGACTAGTGCACACTATTTATGTTTGTGCTGGCGTGCGTTTCATAAAATCTGTTCTAAGGGGTATGCGTTCAACCTTCATAATTTCACTTGCGCGGTAGAATCGGCAGCAATTTACTTTGTGAACGTCTGGGAGCTGAACCTGCTTGCACATTAATTAGGGCACGTTAGAATCGTGCAAACATGGTACATACTGCACACATTATTTTTTTCTTCGCATAGAAACACCTGTCCAAAGTGATGACATAATTATTTTTCTTTGTCACGGAAATGACCGAATAAATGTGTCAATGAGTGTGAATAATGTTCTGTTGGCACACGCTGCATTAGTTTCGATTTCCTGGAAGGTGCCGACGAAGCATAAAGGACTGTCAACTGTTGGTCGAAGGTAGGCAAGCAGAACTTACAATTCTTTGCCATAACAAGTGGCATGGAAAATCGTAAATTTCCAAGCGAAACCTACCGCTGGAGCAGCACTGCTGGTACCGCGGTAGGGAGCAGCGGTAGGGCATGGCTGAGGGCCTGCACCATGTTGGATATTGAAAGACTTTATCTTTGCAAACAGCTCATCCTAGCTCGACGACGTCAAAAGTCACAATTAGAATGTTAGCGCTCCATTTTATAAACATGAATTTTGCTTTTGTTTTAGTTTCGCAATCGACCAATGAGCAACGACTGGTGGACTCATTGCAGTAATGAGTGCCTCCCACCACAGAACCACTGCTGAGCGCTCAGTTTACCCAGAAATCGACTCCATAGCGTCTGTGGCAGTAACCGGGGGTTGGTCCAGCACCCACCTTTCCCATCAAGATGTTACAAAGTTACTGGTCATGGGGAAGGGCTTCTTCAGTGATACCCCAAGGATGGCCACGTACAGTTGAGCCCTTGTAACACCCCCAAAGATAGCAAAATATTGAATATAACGAATGAATGCTTGCTGCTTGCTCCTTTTGGTATACTTTCAATAATACTTAAAAAACAAGCGAGCTGATGATGATTCATGGTAATAAAACCCGAGACTCAGAAACACAGAAGGGGACGAACACAACACGTCTCAAGCGCTGTGTTGTGTTCGTCCCCTTCTGTGTTCCTGAGTCTCGGGTTTTATTACCATACTTTCAATGCAATTGTAGCCCCCTTTTAACAGACAATCTCAAAGCAGAGCAGTGGATATAACCGAAAAAAAACTTTCAATGCACGGAAAAAAGATTTCGCAAAACAAGTCAGAAACTGAACTGCCAGATTTCCACGAGAAAATAAAACGTGATTGCAGTCCTATGCTGTGGCATACTTTGACTCCAAGGCTGCTACCTCGGGGAAAGCTCACACCACTTTGTACTCGACCATTAATTTGTAGGCTACAAAAACAGCTTTATGACACAGCACGACCGTTCCAAATCTTACTCGAGTAGACCCGAGACCAGTTCACAAATACGTCGCACCACTAAATCAACACAAACATTGATGAAGCGCTGACTTGAATGCAACTTTGCACTGATGCAGGGTGGTATCAGCGCAGTATCATTAATATTATAGGGCAAAGTCACATCAGCAAGATTAGATCGATAGATATTTATTTGTATGTTTAAGTACAGGCCACATAAAAGGCGTTGCTGCCCGTACACATGTGCCTACATGGCCGGCTAGATGTATACGATGATGGCGATGTGAAGCTTGTTGGCTTAGCATGTGCGGGATGTTGACAATGGTGAAGAGGGTGAAAGGCAAGGTGGGTGAAGTTTGATGAGGCACGCGACACAATCGTGGGTGCTGCTTTAGAAGTGTCTGGCAATTGCTTTGCAGAGCCGTGTCACCTCGTCTCTGTTTGTGAGAGGTAGGCTGGTCATGGCGTCATGCAAAAATGTCCAAAGTCCCCGGAGGAAAAATGAGTTGCCGTTGTGTGTTACTTGCTATTAGCGCGGTGGTAGCTGCAGTGTATGTGCAAACAGGCCTTTACTCCCGCAGGTTGCACCATGCGAAAGCACAATAAGAGCGACGCCGGGTGTCAGTAGGTTTCCAAACGCCAAGGTACAAAACTTCTACTTTGGAATGAGATGGAGGAAAATTTGGGACACGGTCTGGTAAGAAGTGTGGCGGACAGTGAAGCTGGCAGCACAATCTGATGTCCATGTTGGTGCACCTCCTGCGCTGTCCAGGGGACTCACCTGCAGGTTTCTCGACACCTGGGAGATGGCGAGGAAGTACTTTTGGCACTCGAGCGCCCCGTCCAGGTTCCCCAGGGCCATGTGGGACAGGCCCAAGTTGCAGTAGGCCCTGCCCATGTTCACCCGGTCGTGCAGGTTCTTCGCCAACGTAAGGTCTTTCTCATAGTAGTCAATGGCATCCTGCAGGTCATGTGCAAGATAGGAAGCTTAAATATAATTCCCAACAACCTAAAAATTATTGTCCTCATCATCAAAAACATATGTCAGTTGATCAATCATTCATTTTATTTCATATTAGTTCACATCAATATCAGTGCTTGGACTAGCCAAAGAGGCTAATCCAATCACAAAATCGACTTTACAATGCAGCAGACTAGACAAGCACAACGTGCACGTCACTTCAGGATTACAAAAATGATGCCTTAATCGCCGCCGTCAATACGCTGATTCTTGACGAATGCGTGAGCACTTAGCACGGGGGTTCCGACTCAGTGAAGGATGGGAATTCCAACGTCGTAACGTCCGCACGCCGTTGTGTTCCCAAAGCCGGTCTGTTCTCCCAGGCGTCGGCAGTTTCGGGCGCAGCCATCATAGCTTGCCTCAAACTTCACCTGCCGCATACTGTTCTCTTCAAACAGCCAACCCTTCGTCCTGGGCGTCGACGATTTAGCGCAAACGTTGTTGTGTACGTTGTGCCATGACCACTCGATCCCTCCCACTCCCGCACCAGAAACACGAGAGAGGAAGAACGTAGAGAGAGACTATCCTAGCTGTCTACGTTCTCCCTCCCTTGTCATTGCCCTAATTTTACCAACATGTATAGCCAACTAGCCCACCAAAGTCTGTCGCAAAAAGATTTCTCCAAAACAGAAAACTTTTGAACATGGTGTAGGTGTAACAGCGCGTAACGAAAACTAGGAAAAGGAACACGCAACACAAGACGAGCACAGCGTTATGTGTTCCTTTTCTTAGTCTTGGTTGTTACGCGCTGCTGCACCTACGCCATGTTCAGCTTCCACCAACTAGCCCAGCTCTCTACTTTGTTAGAGAACTTTGCCAATTACATTATTGTTTCTTAACTGCCAGGCTGGTTAACTGTAAAATGTGACAAGAACAACCCCCTCACGCTCTATGTGGTTCCCCTGCTTTGCGCTTTAAGGCAGAGGAAACATTACTGGCATGTAAACAGAAATAAAAAGGGGCATGGGGTCAAAAAAAAAAAGGTTTTTTGCTGCAAGGCCAAGGAGAGTTTCTGCGAAAGGCATAAAATCTTCTCTTTCCAGATGCCACCTGTGCCCACAATTTCTTTAATAGATAAAGCTCAGATTTCCATGATGAGTTCGTAAATACAAAACTAAATTTTGCTAAAATAGAAAAACATTTCTTTTTTTTTTTTTTTGCTCGAAGTGGTTTTTTGAGAGTTGTCCAATTGTCCAAGTGGGAAACAAGGTAGTACAGCAATGAATACCGCAACAGGAGCACTGGCCTCTTTCCTTTCCACCCTTACAGCATCAAAATTAATTTATTCATTCATTAAATCAATCAATCAACCTTCCTTTTCACCCTTGAACCATTAAAAGTAAATCAATCAATCTCGATTTTCATTTATTTATTTAAAATACCCTCAAGGCCATTGGCATTATAGAGGGGAGTGGGGGGTTAGTGGCAGTAGTACACTTCGCAGCTCAATCTGAGCAGTATAGATTATTTATGGCAGTCCTAAATAAATGGTCAGGAACAATTGTTGCGATAGATGCGGGAAGGTGGTTCCAATCCACTGAAGTTTTCGGAATGAATGACTCTTGGAATGCATTAGTGTTGCATTTTAGAATGTCTACTTTATACATATGATCAATGCGAGGTGAAATATAAGACTGTTAATTCAGAAGTCGCGGTTGTGAAGTAATGAGTTAGTATGGTATATCTTATGAAAAAGACATAAGCGAGCTATTTTACGACGTAAATTGAGGTTAGGCAACAATAGGCTAGTTTTCATTGAGCTCACGCTTGCGGTGCGATGAAAGTTATTAAGAATAAAACGAGCAGAGCGATTCTGAACTAATTCCAGGGCGTTAGTTAGTTTGGAATGACCGGGGTCCCAGATAGAAGAAGCATATTGTAATTTAGAGCGTACAAGCGTTTTGTACAGAGTTAGTTTCAAAGATGAAGGGGCAAGTGAAAAGTTTCGTTTTAGATAACCCAGCATTCGATTAGCGTTATTAATAACATACTCAACATGCATTTGCCAGGAAATATCTGAGGTTATATACACGCCTAAGTATTTATAAGAAGAGACAGAATGTAAGGGGACATCTTCGAGAAAATAAGAAGAAGGAAAATTACATTTACGCGATACTGTCATGGCCTTGCATTTAGTCGTGTTAAGTTCCATCCCCCATAATTCACACCACTTTGAAACATGGTTGATATCAGTTTGTAAATTCAGAACATCCGAGGCGTTAGTAACTTCTCTGTAAATAACACAATCATCAGCGAATCAACTAATTGAAGAAGAAATCGAATTCGGCAAATCATTAATATAGATAAGGAACAATAGCGGACCTAATACAGAACCTTGCGGTACTCCACAATGGACGGAGGCGAGCGGGGATGTTTCATCGTTAGCGGTTACAAACTGGGAACGATTTGTGAGAAAATAAGTTATCCAGGACAGAACATTTGCGTCAATGTTAAGACTGTTCAGTTTTAGTAGCAGCAGCTTGTGTGAAACTTTATCGAATGCTTTGGAAAAGTCCAAAAAAATGCAGTCTACCTGGGACCCTCGGTCAAGCGCTAGGTGCAAATCATGGGTGAATGACAAAAGTTGCGTTTCGCAAGAGAAGGATTTACGAAAACCATGCTGAGTGGTGCTGAAGAAAAGGTTAGATTCTAAATATTGAACTAGTTGTGAGTAGATGATATGTTCTAGTATCTTGCATGGAATGCTAGTAAGCGAAATAGGTCGATAGTTATCCGGGCAATATTTATCACCTCCTTTGTGGATTGGCACCACCTTCCCTATCTTCCAATCAGCAGGCAACTCTCCAAGTAAAAGCGACTGGGAAAATATTTGAGATAACACCAAAGAGCAATACATTTTTGTATTTTTGAGGAACTTTGAGTTAATGCTGTCGGTGCCAGCAGAGGAAGAAAGTTTTAAGTTATCGATTATTTTAACAATACCAAATGGGTCGACAAGAATGGGTCCCATAGGCAAAAAATCACTCGCGTCAAATCTACAAATAGGCGTGTTAATAACAGTCTGAAAGGACTTAATAAAAACAGCATTCAAAACGCGAGCACATTCATCACTATTAATTACGTCTCCATTCGCGGCCTTGAGTGAAATTACGAATTTTTCTTTTTTACTAACAACATTCCAAAACTGCTTTGGGTTAGTGGCTAACATAGACGGTAGCTTAACGTTAAAATACTCGTTTTTTGCATCTTCAATAGCACTTTTGTAAACTGCATTGGCGTTGTGGTAAGATTCCCAACGGTTACAGGTACTGGAAGATTTCGCGACACGAAACAATCTCTTTTTCTTGTTCGATAGCCTCCTCACTGATGGGTTATACCATGGTGATTGATGGTGAGACGTTACAGATCGCAGTGGAATGTAATTGTCGGTGAGAACAGCGACTTGACCCCTAAACATATTCCAGTTCTGCTCAACAGAACGCTCGGAGCAGTTAACAAAATAGTGATCAACGAACTGACTCGGGGCATTGTTTATAGCGTCGAAATTAGCTTTTCGGTAGTCACGAATAAGTTTTATCTGCTTTCTACTACTACACTTTGGTATGCTTAGAGAGATAAGTAACGAGCAGTGATCACTTAGTCCTGGTAGGTGAGATATTAGGGATACAAGGTCAGGTGTGGAGGTTAGAACGAGGTCAAGAATATTTGCTGACGTGGCTGCAATTCTTGTGGGTTCTGTAACTAGCTGCGACAAGTTAAAATCGGAACACATGTTCAAGAAATCAAAACACTCCGACGAAAATGGATTAGGAAACGGGCTCTCATGTGACCAACAGATGTTTGGGTAATTAAAATCACCTAGAAGAAATATTGGATTGTTTGGAAACCTTGTTACAACCATATTGATAGCATCATGAAGTTCGTTTACAAAACTAGAGGTACACTTCGGTGGACAATAGCAAACACAAAGAATAACTTTTTTTTAATTCACTTCAAAACAAACGCAGAGAAACTCAATATTTAACGCCAAGTTTACACAATAGGAAACAATACAGTCGGCTACTGCAATTAGTACACCACCTCCAGATCCAAACTGCCTATCGGAACGATACACGTTAAACCGCTTTTGACAATCAAATATTTCACTATTCCGTACTGTAGCGGAAAGCCACGTCTCGGTGAGTACGACAACGTCAGCCGATGACGAGTCAAGCACAGCGCATAACTCATCTCGCTTTTTTAGCACGCTCCTTATGTTAGTAAAAAAGATAGACATATTTTCGGAAGAATGACCATGATCGTTTCTCGGTTGCTATGACGAAGGGGGTTCATTCGCTGACTCAGCAAGGACGCCAGCGGCTGTATCGGCGAGACTCAACTCAGAAGGAGCCCCGAGCTTGCGCACACTATCAGTTTCGGAGCAGTAAACATAAATTTTTTTGTCCAAATGAAGCTTGTTGTACCATAATCTAAAGTTAATATTAGGATTTAATGCCTTCACAAATTCGATTAATTTCTTTCTAGCCTGACGTGTAGCTGGTGAAAAATTCTCATTAATAGAAATGCCACTGCCTTTTGCCTTCGTTCTTAACGACAAGATGCTCTCTCTAGATTTTGAATTCGCAAATTTTACAATAATCGGTCGGCACTTGTTCCCGAGAAACAGGCCTATCCTGTGCGCTCGAGCTATGGCGTCATCTGTGACCTCCATATTCATTCATATTATTCCACCATTAAACCTCCTTCAATCAATAAATGAACGAGTCCCCAACGCACCTTGTAGTTGCCGAGGCAGTAGTGGGCGTATCCCAGGAAGTGGCAGGCCCTGGCCTGGGCCTCCACGTCGCCCACTTCCTCGGAGAGGCGCATGAAGTTCTCGTAGTAGGGCACGGCCTGGCCAAACTCGCCCCGGGAACTGTAGCAGTTGCCCAGGTTGCACAGGGCGCACGCCTCCCCCGCCGAGTCCTTCAGCTCCCGGGCAATGTTCAGGTGGCTGTGGTAGTGCAGCAGTGCCATCTCGTGGCGCCCCAGGGCCTGGTAAGCCACCGCCAGGTTGCCGTGCGTCGAGGCTTCCGCGCTACGGTCGTTCACTTCCTGGATGGCCACGGACGTCGCAAATGCCGTTAAAAGCAATGGTAAGCTTGTGAAAGCACTTTTTCCAGCTAAGACGTCAGAGAAGCAATTGTGCGTTGGAAAATAGTCAGCTCCAAACAGCATCTTCCACCCCAGAAAAGATGCTAGCGTGGGGTCTTTCATCTACAACATGCAGACACGACTGCACACTGGTACAATGCTCATCCTGATCAAACTGGGCGGGGGCGGGGACTGAAACCAGGATCACTGGGTTTTGCAGAGCGAGCTTTTGCTTTGCAGGCTCCGATTTCCCTCAGTGAAAAAGGAGCTGTTAACGAAAACAGAAAAAATTTGAAGTGGATGTCAGGAATAGACAGCCTATAAAAACGAGGGTACTTAATTAAAGACAAAGTTTCCAAACAGGCAAGTTGGTTTAGGTTAGGGATGATTTGAACCGGAGATGAACGGACAAGAGATGTGTGTGTCCTCTTTCGTCTCCGCTTTAAATTATGCGCTTAATTAAAAAGACGAAACATAAAAATCTACAAGAAAGGAACACAGAGAGGAAGAGCAAAAACTGCAAATCGTAAAGAAAGAGCCTTGAAATGACAGGCAGGTCCTCCATTCATCTTGCATCCAGTGGTAGCCTGCCGCCTTCTGTAGCATTCTAATTTTGCAAGCCTTCCCGCTTTCAGAACTTGGATGATGAGGGAGTTTGGGTGTTTTGGTAATGCGTGCTGCACGTACAGCACACAAGGACAATACACAAACAGCGCTTGATGTGTCCCTTTCTGTTTGTGTCTCGTGCTTTAACTCAGCATATCTCTTAGGGAGAGATAAGGGTTCTTAGATATTAACATTACTCACCCAAAGACAGTATGTAGAGGTATCTCTTTATGCTGATTTTAAATATGCAGTCAGATTTAAAATATATTTTCTTAGATGAAAAATGTAGCAGGATTTCTTACAGGCCGTTAAGGTAATTTATTATTAGAAAATCTTTTAACCTAACTACATACAGTCGCCGACCGATTATTCGGACTTTGCTGGGACCAAAAAAACGTCCAAATAATAGAGCAGTCCGAAAAATCAGCAGATCGAAAAACATGCCTTTATTACTTCCAAGTGGGCTTAAAAAAAGCCGTAAATAGTGCCTTGGTTCAGGTTACGCCTCCGTTTGCGTTCGGCAACTTTCTGTTAGCTTGAGAATCGCTGCCTTCTTTTCTAGCGTTATGGTCGAGTAATTTCTCCGCTTCTTAACTACAGATCGCGGCGGCAGAACATATGGGGCCATGACGTCAAAGCCAGCGTTTTCCGAACGAGATCAGAGGCGCAAATCCACGAGCGTAAAATGGCGACTGGCGACACGAAGGAACGAAAAACAAAGCAAAATGATAATAATGATGATGATGATGACATGCAGCTAAATGGGAAAAAAAAAGACTAGCATAGCGTCACCTAGCGGTAGGACTCAGGAGTGCTCAAGTAGCGCTGCCAAACCAAGCCAATCCATTTGCAGCCAACATAGAATTCAAAATGGCCGCTTCTCGATGGTGTTTTCCGCTGATCGCTTGCGACGATTTTGTCCGAATAATCGAACTTTCGGACTTCAAGCTGTCCGAAACGTTGGTCGTGAATAGACACTATTTCTATGGGGTAAGTCACGGTTCCGCCTTCAGGTCCGAAATATCGAACAAGTCCGAAATGTCGGAGTCCGAAAAAACGGTCGGCGACTGTATAGCTATTTCCAAAGGTTCCTCCACATCCTAAAGCTAGTACTAGCATATTTATGAAGTGGTGTTATTAATTATAAATAAATCACAATTGAAGAAAGGAAATAAATGTGATGATAGTTACTTTAAGCTGCAGCTAATTACTTTTTATTAGTGTTGCGTGAATATTCGAATAGTAGTTTCAAGTAATATGCTATTCAATATTTGCTTCGATATGAACTGCGAGATACATATCTTTCGAAGTGTTAATCGCAGCAGGTTAGCCCGGTCGAGCGTGTTTCTTACCAAGCACTCGTGCACTGCAGGGAAGCAGCACCCACAAGACTCGCTTTCGCAGGTGCGGCTTTCTTGCGGTGCACTGAAGCTTGGTAAGAGGCGCACTCAACGGGGCTAGCCCGCCGCAATCAACACATGGAAAAGTACAAATATGGCAGCCACATGCTTAGGAGGAAAGCTCATTTCTAAGGCTGGATAATGCACATGCACACCTGGTATTTTAAAAAAAACGAAAACTTTGAGAATGTTGATAGCTGCACTGCAGTAAAATTTTCCTGACAACTTGCGTTAATCGTATGTGATTAAAAAAAGATATTTGCATATTGAGAGAATATTTATAAATACCCTCGATTAGGTATACAGCCAACCTCAATGTAACGGAGCCAGTAAAATTCAGAATTTACTTCGGTACATTGAAATTTCGCTACAAAGAAATTCGGGGCTAACGTTAAAGAAAGTTTCCACAAATGTTTCTCAGGCACCTTTATTTCGGTTGAAAGTAGTCCGTCACCTTTTTCTGGGCCACTCTTGGCATTCTTATTGGCATCACACGACGTTCACGTAGCCAGACACCCTGCATCACGTCTTTGTCTTGTTGTGTGCTCACAAACCGCCTCAAGACATCGATCACGTCCACCACTTCACGATTACTAGGCACATCGCAGGCGTCTTGCTCATCAGGCTTGCTATCATCCCCATCTTGCGAGTTCCCTCAAACATTACTAGCTATCGCCTCATTGGTCACCTCCTCCGTCGCAATGACAGTAGAGTCGGCACATAGAAAGCCGTCGAGGTCGACGTTGTTAGGGGCAGCTCCATCGCCCAAAACAACGAGAAACACATGCTTTTAGTTAGGCCTCGAAACGAACTAAGCAGCACAAACGAAGCCGACGGACGAAACGGCGGCAGCTCTAGTGTCCTCTAGTGACCTTTCTGCACACCACACACGCGAGGCTCTGCCCGTTTTACCCTTCGCGCTTTATCAGGGGCCCATTTCAGCGCATGTGCTTCCCAAAATTTCCTTTGGGAGCCAAAAGATTGTGACGAATTGTCCAGGAAACTTCGTTACATCGAAATTTCGGCAAACGGGATTTCGTTACATAGAGCTCACAAATACATGGCGTGCTTACACTTGCGGTTAGAAGAAGTTATGTATTTCGTTACATCGAGAATTTCGTAACATAGAAGTTTGTTACATCGACATTTGATTGTACTAGCTGGTTTAATTTTATGTCAAATGCGTCATTTACTTACCATCCCCATGAGGGCATTGGACTTTTGGAGGCTACAGACAATAAATATAGTTATTAAAATTAGCTTAGAAATGGACAACTGAAAGCTTGGCAACAACTTTCACAAGTTCAGCTGGGTTTTCGTTTAATTTAGCATGGTGCAGTAGTGAAAGGCTTAGAGAAACTATTCAGTATTCTATTTGAAAATATTTGGCCTAAACCACTATTCGCTTCCAATACGATTTGAACTCAAAATCCACTATTTACACGCGCCTACTTTTTATCTATTGACGATAGGCATAAAGCTTCGATGCAGTTAAGTTTTTGCAGAAAATAATGATACCAAGTTTCCTGAAATCTATTCGGGAGAACATTGTCAGAACACCCGTAAAGCAACGGCACTTGACAAAAAAGGCAAAGGCGAGAGAATCACGCTCAACCTTTTTACTATACTTTAAATGCCATTGCTTGAGACTTGAAGCTTGCGGGGAGATCAAAGTATTTAAAATCGGCCTCGGTCACCTTGGAGATGGTGAGCTCCTGCTTGTGCAGCTGCACGGCCTGCTCGTAGCAGCCCATGGCGCTCTGGGCGTTGCCCATGTTTCCGTAGGCACGCCCCATGCCGGCCCGGTCCCCCAGGGAGCGGCCAATGTTCAGGTGGGCCTGGTGCAGCTTGAGGGCCGCCTCAAAGTGCCCCGCCAGCTGGTACACGATGCCCAGGTTAGAGCAGGCACGGCCCTCCGCCACCTGCGCCGAAGACGGGTCAGTTTGGGGCAAGACGGGACGCATAACGTCATTCACTCATAGCTCGGCAAACTTCGCTCATGAGGGCGCTCACTCACCCTCATCTTCAAAGGTGAGGTGAGGGTGAGTGAGAACCGTGAGGTCGTGAGGGGTGTGAGGGACGCGAGGGCTGTGAAGGCAGTGAGTACCGCGAGTGTGTGAAGGGTATGAGTGCATAAGGGCCGTGAGGGCGGCAAGTGTGTGAGGGGCGTGAGGGTGGTGAGTGCGTGAGGGGTATGAGGGCCATGAGTGCGTGAGGAGCGTGAGGGCGGTGAGTGCGTGAGGGCCATGAGTGCGTGAGGGCCGTGAGGGTAGTGAGTGCATGAGAGGTGGAGGGCCATGAGTGCATGAGGGGCGTGAGGGCAGTGAGTGCGTGAAAGTGGTGAGTGCGTGAAGGCCATGAGTGCGTGAGGGCCGTCAGGGCGGTGAGTGGATGAGGTGCGTGAGGGCGGCGAGTGCGTGAGGGGCATGAAGGCCATGAGTGCGTGAGGAGTGTGAAGGCGCGGTGAGTGCGTGAGGGGCATGATGGCCATGACTGCGCGAGTGCCCTGAGGACGGCGAGTGCGTGAGGGGCATGAGGGCCATGAGTGCATAAAGGGCGTGAGGGCGGTGAGTGCGTGTAGGGTGTGAGGGCCATGAGTGCGTGGAGGCAGTGAGTGTGTGAGGCGCGTGATGGCCATGAGTGCGTGAGGGCGGTGAGTGCGTGAGGGCAGCGAGTGTGTGAGGGGCATCAGGGCCATGAGAGCGTGAGGAGCGTGAAGGCGGTGAGTGCGTGAGCGACACGTGCTGTCCCTCGTCTTTTTAAAGCAACAGCATTACGGGTGACACTTTCTAGAGATTTTGAGTTAGTCCGTTGTCATCGCTGCTATGGCGCAAGGAGAGGGAAGTTGGGCCGTCCTGTCGGCTGCGCCGCGTGGAGAGAGAAAAGAGAGAAGTCTCGGAGTCCCGGCAGTAACGGCGTGACGAAGGGAGAGTCTTCCTGTCGTCTGCTTCGAACAGTTGTTTTCAGACGTTACTCGCATTATACGATATCCCACTTTGGCAGTATCCAGTTGCTATGTGTAATGTTGGATGGTTTTAGTAACTTCCACCACGTTCGATTTCGCTATGACATCTCTACATCTCGAACCCAACTCGAAACGTAAAGCTGTTGTGCTAAAACTCGTTGTCTTGCAGCCGTCTTTCCTGCAGAGCTGCACCTCGTTTCTCTGCTCGCGTTCCGCCCTCCACTCATCTCTCAACTTCACCATTACCCCCTCCTTTCACCGCTCAACGTCACGGGGAAACCTACGCCTTCCTTTGCATCGCCACAGCCGCGCACTCTTCCTAATGGCGCCGGCAGTTTGAGGCTTCCGTTCGCCAGGCGAGTGCTCATCCGCCCCAGTTCACGGCGGCCAACGCCGTGAACTGGCACGCGCGTGCAGTGCCTTGCCTTACCCACTTCCCAAATCACTGAGCGCTCGTGACGGTCGTCAGTGGCGACCACGACAGCAATGAGAATTAACCAAGTTGCACTTCCGTCCTCAGGTATGTGACGGCACCATTATGCCCGCATTGTGTGACTGTGCTACAGCTATAGCTTTCAATATTTCGCACATCGTGGATGAAAAATGACTTCTTCCTAGCTGAATTTCTACAAACAAGCATAACGATCGCTACATCCGACACCATAACACCTCTTTCTATGCACGGACGGTACGAGACGCTAAATGCAGCAGTTGAAGACACGTTCCAGGCGCCTACGACAAAAGGACCGCACCTTGTCCCTGGCGGCCAGGGCCATGTCGAGCTGCTTCTCGTGCCAGCGCCGCGCCTGCTGGCTGTCGCCCATGCAGCGCGCCGCGTGGCCGAGCCCCGCGTAGGCCCTGGCCTCTATGACCCGGTCCCCGAGCTCTCGTGCCAGGCGCAGCACGTGTTCGTGGAAGGTGCGCGCCTGCTCGAAGGAGCGCCGGTAGTGGTGCGAAGAGCCCAGGTTGCTGTAGGCGCGGGCCTCCTCCACCTTGTTGCCCAGCTGCTTGGCCAGCCGCAGGTGCTCCGTGTGGCAGTCCACCGCGCTGTCAAAGTCCCCCATGGCCAGGTAGACCGCACCCACGTTCCCCACCTGCGTCGTGGAGGTGGCTTCACACGTGGATAGCAGAAGGTCAGCGCTGCTTCGGCGCTCTTCACCCCTAGGCTGACGGGGAGCTACGTGCTCGTTAGACCACTGCCTCCTTTTCATCACCCTGCTCTCTCCGGCAAGAGCAGGGCCGTACCCAGAAAATTTTGTCAGACGGGGGTTTCCGGGCACGTGGCGGCCATCTTGCCACGAAAAAGAAACAGGTGCATAGAAAGACCCCGAGGCAACGATGTCAGATCCTGTTCCCTCCACTACGCTGCGCTGACCTCGATTTAGCTCTTGGACCGTCACTTTTGTGTCCACTGTGGATTACCTACCCCCCCCCCCCCCAAGCCATGCACACACAAACACACACACACACTTTCATATAAAGAGGTATTCTTCCGCTCTTCCTTCTTTTCCAGTTATTCCTAAAACGTGGAATAGGGAGCTAGCTGGGCGATAGATGTAGGCCTGTAACGGTCTTCAAGAGCCTAATTGTTCCGCCAAAACAATGAAGCAGTCACTTTCTCTTTAGAGGAAATGTTTTGGTTCTAGGGTGCAAATTTGCACAGGGAGAGTGATTTCACGCAAGGTGGAAAGGAGGTGTCACGGAATGTTTCACACTGCGCGTGGAGGGGTTGGGGGGTTAGAACCCTTAAACACTCTTCCCTGGGTATGGCCCTGGGCGGGAGCTTGATCACGAGGTAAAAGATAGACATACGATGGGTTTAACAATTACGTAGCTTTTACCAAACTCTCGGCTTAAAATGGAGTGTAGTGTCATTGCTCACAAAGTGACAAGATAGCACTAAGACAGTGCGCGTGTAAAAAAATTGAAGCTGTATTTCGATCTATCTCCAATCTTAGCCTTCCAGACACATGACGCTGTAATGATGCTACGTGCTCCTTTTGTAACTTTTTTTTTTGTTTTTGAAGCGGGCGAAGTCTTCTCAATATTTCACTCCCTGCCTCTACAATTTTTTTTTCTTTGCCCTTATTTTTTTTCGTTCTTTTTTTTTGCAATGCATTGTTTGGATTTTTGGCAGCTGGCCAACTCTCTTCAAGTATGGCTTGCCTGGCTTGTTGCAACATGTTTCCCTTTCCAAGGCTAGATCAAGGTATAGCTTCAGCAAGAATGTGATTCTGCAATAAAATAAAAGGTCACATGCAGCAGATCACTGATACAGTGCTGGTATAGAGCAGAGTCAACAGTGCGTGTACAGCACCGAGTTAGCCCGATGCTGTATGTGTGAACGGGCCTTTAAAGCAGAATGGCTGGGATGCAGCGGACCAAAGCAATATGATGACCGTCAAATGTACTTGTCTCATCTCGATTACAAGAAGAGGCCCTGGAAAGAGCTCTCGTGGCACATTTCACACTGTCCATGTATGAAAAGTAGATCAGAAATTGTGCCGCACTGAGCCCAAGTGCTCATTCTGTGAAAACAGTGGAATCTCAATAATTCGAACCCTCTTAATTCAAACTTGCAAATAATTCAAACTACACTTGTTAGTGAGTGCGTTGGTATCGATGTAGATTTAGAAAGAGTTATATACGTAAAGACAGGGGACGGGACAACACATGATGTGTTGTCCCGTCCCCTGTCTTTACGTATATAACTCTTTCTAAACCTACAATTCAAACTAGGATGCAGGTCCCGTCCTAAGTGTTTCTAGGAAGGAAACTGCTGGCAATTCAAACTTTGCACTATTCAAACAAAGTTCCGGTCCCCCTCGGGTTCAAATTAACGAGATTCTACTGTATGTAATAATGACTGCAGTTTCAAGCCTATACCTCCTTCTTGTATTTGTTCCGTCTTCTAAACTGAAATAAGTATGTACCAAAGTGCAACACAGGGGTTCCGAGACTTCTCTATCTTGAGAAGCCCCTATCTGCTTTGGCTATGAGCCGAAAAACCCGTCCCAGTCTCGACATTGACGCAAAAAGTGGTGCAAATACTTACAGACCTTGTAAGCATCCATACAAATAATATAGAGCACCAGGCTAATAGTTACGCATGAACTGGGTCACTTAGATCTGCTAAAATAACGCTCGACACAAAAAAAAAACACTTTACTTAGGGAGGCATACGGTCAGAAAAATTTCGTAGCTCGTAGAAGGTACTGCTTCGAAAATTGGTTCCACACCAATCAGCCACGCCGACAGATTTCAAGGTTGTTTCAGTCCCCAAACAGGACCAAAACAGATCACTGTGTTTACCAAAACAATGTCGCAAAATATTTTAAGAAATTCTGTTTCACTTCTGCGGGACACAATTCACAAATACTCAGTCCAAAAATTTAGGTTAGCAACTTTTAAACCAGAATAGGAAATGAGGTCGGTCGTTGCTGGTAAGATATGAACAAGCTTGAATGCACTCTTCCACTCCCAACTGGTCAGCTCCAGGCATAAATGTGAATGTGTCTGTTCTGCGTGCTTCTGGAATGTAGTCGGGTAAAGGTTAAGAATGTACAAGATGCTCAAACTCCGGCGCGAGCTTTCTAGCCTCCAGTAACACTTCTAGGTCTCGTGCCCAGCCAAAGTGTGATGAAAGGTAAGAAGCACGTGCTGGAAGCTTCGTTTGTAGCTGTTACCTCACTATAGCAGTCTCAGTATTATCAAAAGATACCGAGCAGGCACTGTGTCACAATAAGTGTACATCTGCAGTTATTTTTGAAATATTCGAAAAATAGGCCGGGGACGTACGAAGTGGCGAACTCCGGCTAACCAAGATACACCCGCGCGTAAGCTGCTCCTCCGAGTGCACCAGTGCAAAGCGGGGAAGCTTGACTCGCAGGCCCCTGTCCAAACTGGTGAAGCCCAGCCCACCTCGTGGCCCTTCCGCATTTTTCCTCTCCGTCTCACACTAAGTCAGATAGTAGCCAACACTACGATTCGATGTAAGCAGCACCGAAAGTGTATTGTCAAAGTCGTCTTTGTGCATCTGCTATCACCGGCTACACCAATCACAGGCAGAAATTACGGCCCGATGACATGGTAACGGTGTGTCAAGAACGGCAGGCAGAAGAACAGAGCCGCAGCCCGTGTGCACCTCCAAAGCCTCCAAAGCCAACCGCAGGAGCTTCCGAGGGCGTCCAAAGCGCACACCCGCACCCCGGATGCTTATTTTGAGAGGTTAGGCGATAGGACGTGGAGCTATGGCGGCTGTGCGGGATGACTGGTTATAAAAGACGACGGCGTGACGTGACACTTAGCAACCGAGGTGCACGGGGGACGGCAGGGCTAGGGCATACATGGGTTGCCGGCGGGGCGCCGTGAGGCAGCATGTACAGCTGGGCCAAGGTGAGTTAATATTTTGTAATGAGCCATCCGCAGACTGTCGCCATGGTGTGAATAGGGGGTCAAGGAGGTTTAAAGGGCCACTCCGCTTCATTTTTGATTTTGAAAAAACAATGCAGTCCTCTTTAGTATCACCTAGGAAGACCACGCGTCAAATATTACGACGTAGTTCTGTCTAAATGTTTCTTAAACGGCCCTGCAAACTTTGCAACTCGCCAAGTTGTTGAAATCGGCTGATTCGGGAGGGTGAATAGAGGCACAACCAACGGCGCAGCCGAGGCTACGGCGTGGGCAAAGCCAACATTGAGCTAATTGTCATCACCATTTCCCCCTTTTCCTTGTTTTTATTTCTTTGGGCGAGCGTAATGGGTGACGTTAGCAACGTTTCCTCTCGGAGCTCGGCGGTGTCCATGTGATGGGCGTAATGCCCCTGCGCAGCGCGCCTCTTGGGGGCCGTCCAGCCACCCCGCCCGTGGTCCCGCCGTTACCGCCATCTCCCGTGTCGCAACCACCGTCACCGTCTCACCGTTTGTAATTATTGTCTCTAGGAGTTTCGTCCACACTATGGACACACTACGCACGCAGACTGATGCCACAGTTGTGCAGACGTCGTTGAATGTCGTAGACACCAAGACGTGGTGAAGAGTGCGGTGTAAGTCGTTGCATAGGGGATCACGTGACATTTCGGACTACATGATAGTCATATTCTTGGTGGCCCGGGGCCAATGTCACCGAATGGAGCAGAAGTTTCGGTTTCGATTTCTGCTCGTGTTTAAAAATAAATTTAAAAATATATACCCTAATTTTCGCAAAGCAAATGACGTAGTGTCTTTTACTAGGGCTTTTTAATGAGAAATTCATTACTCTAAAATCTTGGGAATTGAGCGGAGTTGCCCATTAACACCCGCCGTCCCCAACTGTGCGGCGCCCAAATTAGCGAAGAAGGACGTCGTTCCCTATAACCAGGCAATCTAGTGCGAACTCCGTTGCTACACGTCCTATCACCTAGTCTTTCCAAATATGCACCCCGCCACCTTTTGTCAGCACTCGTAGAAAATGTTTCCTAGCCATTTACCATTGCCAGTGTGGCTGTGGTGCCATCCTGTGGCGACGTTGCAAACTTTGAATACTCCAAACACTTGTCAGGGCCCAGCGAGCTTCCACGCTAGATCGCTTGCGGTTTCAGAACCAAGGGACTCTCATAACCGGAACTCCTTTATTCCCGAGCACTCGCGGCATCACCCCGCACCGCTCCCGTCCTTCGTCCCTCGCTCTCCCTTCGTCTGCCGAGTCCCCCCCACAGCCGCGCATCCCGCGCGCCCTCTCTCCGAGTCCCACGGAAGGCGTCCTCGCGATGCCGCCGTGGCGCCATCTTGTGGCGAGGCATGCAACTACATGCTTCTCCTAACAGATCCCCCCTCCTTAATCTGTGCATAACGTGAATAGCAATGCCTATGAATCATAGTACCGCACCAACTGGTCGACATTGGCCAGTCCACACCGTCGGCCCGTCGTAGGGTCCTTCAGTCTGTACACGTTTTCCCCTGTCTGGGCCGCAATGGCAAAGGGTCCAGAGCGTCGAGGGGCAAGTTTGGCAGTGATTCCCCGACTGGCGTTGCTCAGTGTGTGCGAGTCTCGCAGAACGAAGTCACCCACAGCAAACTCGCACTGTTGTCGCCTCCGGTTGTAGTGTCGTCGCTGT